GAATTGAATTGAATGAATTAAGCGCAATTAGAAACACTAAGAAAGCCAGATTTGTAAAAAGGTACTAAAAAAACATTTGTTGGGGCAATTCAAAGTGTTCAGCTGAACAGGGAAATATTGTAGGTCTGCTCTTACCCTTACCCTACTTCTACCCTACTCTTCCTCTTCCTGCTCTGTTATTTTTTTATCTAACACCTGCAAAAGTCACTTGAGGTCTCTTTAATATTTTGACACGTGACTGAGTTGTCTTCCAAGTTTGAACAGGTGCAATATGACTGAGACCTAATGAAACCACTGTGTTGTACTTTAAAGACGAGTGCTATATGATGACCTTTATGCTGATTTGCTGCTAAAGCGGTGTTTGGATCAGTGGAATTGTGCTTAGAGTTAGAAGCTTGGAGTCATGTTGCTGACACACAGCAGCTTTGTGTTTTCAGTACATAACAGTGTTGGGGAGTAATGGAATACATGTACCGCCGTTACGTATTTAAAATACAAAATATGAGTAACTGTATTCCGTTACAGTTACCGTTTAAAAAGGTGGTATTCAGAATACAGTTACTTTGTTGAAATAAATGGATTACACGGCGGTACTTTCCTGTTTCATATTGTTGTTGTTCCAGGCGGCAGCGTTACAGTTGCCATGGTTACATGGTGACGCGCTCTCTTTGCGACTGTGTGTTCCTGGGAGAGAGCGCCTTTTGTTGTTGTTGTTGTTGTGCTAAGCTAAAAGGTAGAGTGTTACAGACATAGCCCTAAAGAATGTAGCATCATGGGCAGTGTAGTCACATTTCAGTGCTGCAGGGAGAATGGACTGCCATACCTGTTATGTGTCTGTGAGCGCGAGGAGGGAGAAAAAGGAGAGTGGAAAGGTACGAGTTGTCATCGAGCGAAAACGGGAGCTGGAAGCATGTAAATATAATAATAACCACTTCAGCCAAGAAGAGCCTGACGAGCCCAGTTGTAAGTAAGCTATTAAAACTCGACTGTACACTGTGTTCGTGTTTTCCTCCGAAACAATAAGTTCCGTTGGAGCAGCCTTTCAACGCCTCTCTCTGTCTCTCGCTAGCAAAGTTGACCCACACAACAAAGTAAAGCTATTTTTCGGCTACGAGCCGACAGGGACCTGCCGTATTAGTCAGAGGTCCCTTTATTACGTTCGGAGTCCGGACCTTCAGTAACAGTAATAAATCACACAGCAATAGTACATTCATGTAGTTGTAAACAGCGTGATAATATATTAAGTAATCCGAAGTATTCAGAATACGTTACTGTCATTGAGTAACGTAACGGAATACGTTACAAAATACATTTTGGGGCATGTATTCTGTAATCTGTAGTGGAATACATTTTAAAAGTAACCTTCCCAACACTGTACATAATTCCAATTTTCATGTATATTTATTCAGAAAAATCAGCAGTGAGGATGATGGAAAGCAGTGACATCGTAAATAACAACAGCAATACATATGAAGCTTTCCTTCTTTATAAATAAAATACAGTATGAGACATACAACTGTTTTGTGATGAAAAATTGTGTATAAAACATTTACTATGTTGAATTTTTCTTCTGTTGAATAAGTGAAGTAGGACAAAGTGTCACGGCCAGCGGGAGCTGACTGTGTGTTGTGAGCAGAATAGTGGACCCAAACGCAGAAGACGGGAGGAGACGGTACAGAACTTTAAACAAAAAGCGAGACTTTAATAGGACTGATGACAAGAGTACAAAACAAAACAACATGAACAGTGGCAAGGCTAAACTAAAACCTAAACTGGAAACACTAGAAATGACTATGACGACTATGAACATGATTTTGTGTAGGCATGAAAGAAACTGTGAAATACAAACATGAACTAGACACATGAACATGCCTGAACAAAATCATGAAAATCTTGGAAACCTGAAGTGACACGGAGGGCAGACGACCTGACACAGAACAAAGGAAGAAGGAGGACTTAAATACACACAGGGAAGTGGAAACACACGGGGAAACAGCTGACTCAAATGAACATAACAACATCACAGGAGAAGAGTAAAACTAAACACATTAAAGAAAGAAACACAAGACTTTCAAAATAAAACAGGAAACATGGAGCGACGTAGATATGACGACACAGGCTTGACAACATGAAACACGCAAACAAGAAATACATAACAAATAGCACAGAAGGCCTGGGTGAAACAGACTAACTAAAATTCACGGCCAATTAATAATCACAAACTCCACATTATCTTCAAAATATAACAAGAGATCAAAACCAACTGAAAGCGCTGGGCCAGAGCCAGCCCTGACACAAAGTGAACGGAGTGAATTTATACTGTTTGTTCTTTGAGCTGTTCCTTTATTTCCCATGAGTATTAACAGCACAGTGTCAGATCTACATACACTATATAACCAAAAGTATTTACTTCTCTGCCATCACATGCATGTGAACTGGAGTGACAGGGTTTCATATGATGTTGGCCCAAACATTTTCAACTTAGTTTATGAGAATTTTTCACCATTCTTCCAGAAGTGCGTCTGTGAGGTCAGACACTGATGTTGGATATGAAGACTTGGCTCACAGTCTCCGCTTCAGTTCATCCCAGAAGTGTTGGGTTGAGGTCAGGACTCTGTGCAGGGCAGTCTTGAGGACATTTGAACTTTAAAGTCATTTTAAACCCTGTATGTATTTCTAGACTTACTACTTACTACAAGTTTAAAAGGGCTTTACAAGTCACACATCTTCTTCTCTCATTTGTTTTCATGTACACCTAACAATGGGTAAATGTTGTTGCTTCTACAGCAGCTCACCTGCACTTTGAAACTAACTTGAGTTTCAAACCCTTGCCAGTACAAGATGATTGCACACACGCAAATGTCAGTGAGTTATTTAAAATATACCACATGCATGCATGAGTAATTACAATCATGGCAACTGGGGGATTCAACCCTGAAATTTGCATACCTGGAAAAGGTGACTGCACCAATAAAGAAGGCACAGTTTTCATGGTTTATATGTCAGGTGTTTGCAGCTTATGTGCTAATTTGAAGTTTTCTTGGTTAGAATTGGTGAAAAATAAAGATTGTTTTATTTCTAATGGCTTATTCATCTGAAAAAAAAATAGAACACCTCGCTCTTAGTGGATTTGTGGTTGCAGATGTTGAATACCAGAAGCTCATTGCCGAGAAACACAGAAGTAATCACTTTAACAATCAAACCACTAATCTACTCAGTAAGAGCAGGATGATAAAACTTGCGGGTGGGGGTGAACAGGTTTCCTGTGTATTTACAAGCAGCTCACACTTTTCAAAAGAAAAAACAAACAAACTTTTTTTATACTAGCATACACAAAGCTAAAAGAACATAGCTCAGGCCAAGGGAACAGAGGTCAGCATTTTCAGCACCAGTTGTTTTCAGTCCATGGTTTCTGGGAGCTGCGAAGAGAGATAGAAAGCAATCATGCAAAACAACATTTCCTCATTAGCAGAAAAAACAGCCTAATTCTGAGCTAGCTCGAAGCTTTCAGAAGGGGGAAGAAACTCAGAGGTTATGCAAAAGACCAGAGAATCACCTAATAGCTGACAGTAAGCCAAAATTTGTGAAGCAGCTTTTGTTGACACTGGAAATTAAGGAAAATTGGAAGTGCAATTCTACCTTAGGTACGTAGGTACGTGAGAACCTTATGTGCCTGTGATAGAAATTTGCTTTTAAGTGCATCAGATATCATCACCTTTCTAGGAAGGTTACAAGGTGAGTCCTTCCTAGTTATCTCACAACTCCTGATTTCCCCAAATTTTTAAACTGAGGTGAAAAGCACAAATTTGGCATGATCCATGACAAGAATGTCTATGGACAATTCCAGGTTAAAACCATGCAGGCTGGTAGAAGAGTAGTTTAGTGCCTATTGTCTGTGAATGTTCTCAATCATTCAGGTCATCGTAGTCTAAGGAGCTTGGAAAGAAAAGTGTCTGGACTTCGTTTCCTTGAAGATGGACGTCAGTGACCCAGTGTTTTGTATCTGTTTAAGTTATATTCCCTGATTATGTATTATTATAATTATCTCGTTCCCCGGTCATGTCTGTTGTCACTCCTGTCTCTGTGCTCCGTGTTTCCTTTGTTCAGTTTCACTCTGTGCTTGTCGTGTTTCCTGTTTTACTTTGAAAGTCCGTTTCTCATGTCAGTGTTTCTATTTTTGCTTCCCTGTCTCGTTAGGCATAATTTCTCCCAGCTGTGTTTTTCTCCTGTCTCCCATTCCCTGATTACTCCAGTGAGTATTTAAGGCCTGTGTTTGCCGTGCTCTGTGTTGTGGTGTGTCCTCACTGTGATGTGTTTTTCTTCTATGTTTCTGGTAACGTTATAGTCCTCTGTTCACAGTTATGTTTTCTAGCTTCCGTTTTTCGCAGTGTCTTAGTTCCTCGCTGTTAGTTTCTAGTTTTCTACTTTTCGTTTCTAGTATGTTTTACTACAGCACACTAAAGTTGCCTCTTTTAGTTCACCCTTGTGTCCTGCGACACTCAAAAATCAGTAGATGCACTTGGGGAACCAGGTCTTTGGTGTCTAACACAAATATAAATCAATATCCAGATAGGAGTCTCCAAGTCTGAGAGCATGCTTCTCAGAAAAGGGTCAAGTGCTCACTCTAGGTTAAAAATTAGTTGGTTCTCCAAGGGGGAGAGTTGAAGAATTTTGGAGTCTTGTTCATGAATGACCAGAAAGTGGAGCCAGAGATTGACTGACAGACTGGTGCAACACTTTGCCAGTTTGTCATGGTGAAGAGAGAAATAAGCATGGAAAGTGAACTTGATCATTTCCAGGGCAATCTACATCCCACCCCTTACTTATAATTAATAAGTACACCATGGTTAGTTAGCCTTCAAACTGAACCCCAATCCCATTCAAAACATCCGCTTCTGACTTAAACAACCAAGAATTGTTAACACAGGCCAGAGCAGGCTAACATTACCTGAGGAGCCTGTCGTGTCTTTTTCTGGAATTTCACCACTGCCAAAATCTGAAAATGAAATAACAACTAAGGTTAAGCTGTTACATTTACTCATTAAACATTCAATAAAAATAGTAATAATAGACTCCAGCCCCCCGAGACCATGACAAGGATAAGCATGGATGGATGGATATTTATATTTATAGCTGAGCTGTTTCATTAAAATTTAGTGTGGTAATGTACAGAACCAGAATTACAAAAAACAGTTGTCTCTGTCCAAATATTTATGGACCTGATTTGATTTTGCCATCAAAATATCATTTTGATTAAAGAGCATCCACAAAGTGATGGATTAACCACTGCAGAAACAGATACAACTATTTTGGTAATTACAAATACTGTTCATAAACTTATGGTCTAATAAATTTGTTAAGCAGTCTATTTCACTATGTCAGAAGTACAGTATGTTTGGAGTCAGCATCCTGTAAAGATATTTACAAATTAGAACTACAGACATAGAGCAGAGGAGACAGATATTACCTGACAGTAGAGAGGCCAGCAGTTCAGTGTCATTTATTATTAAGGTTGAATTTATTTCGCCAGAAGTAAAAAAATAACTATAATCTTCATCATCAAAAGGTGGATCATCTCCCTCTGATAAAATAACTCCAGTACCTTCAGGGATAGACAAACAAAAATAGCAGATCAAGTAAAGTTGTAGCCCCAAATATATATAGCATTTAAACAATTGAATGAACATTTTAAAAAAAAATAGCTGCTGCCCCAAGCCGAGGAGTTTAAGTATTTCAGAGTCTTGTTCATGAATGTCCACAGAGTGGAACAGAAAACTGACTGGTGGACCAGTGCAACTCTATACCAGTTTGCTGCGGTGAAGAGAGAGCTATGTGTGAAAACTGAGGTTGATGATTTTCAGGTCATTCTACATTCCTTTCCTTACTTATGATCAAAGCTGTAGGTTATGACTGAAATGACATCATGGATACAAGTTTCCTCTGATGAATCCTGGGCTCAGCACAACAACAGAGAGAAGATCTTGGTCATTTGAAAGGGGTGCAGAGTAAAGCTTCTACTCCTCCACACTGAAAGGAGCCACAGGAGTTGGTACAGCCAACTGACCGTGTCTCCTGGGCATGTGCTGATATATTACAGTGTATGCTAAAGATATAAAGCTAGCACACATTATAACGTATTTAAAATAACATCCAGCCGAAACAATAAAGCGATAGACAAATGAATGAATCAATGATAATGACCCAATAACATATACATGATACTACATAATAGTAATGCATCTGTATGAGGTCACAGGGCTGCATATCAGTGTTTTCTATCTTCATGTCAACCTTTTATGAAAGTCAGCAGAAACTCCCCCTGTCTGGGTAGCATGAAGGGGTGAACTCTAAAGTTCCAGTTACTATTTATTTCCTTCTCATTTACTTGATTCAGGTTTTGAAAATATTGCAGGTTGGGTTAAAATACGTCCCATCTCCCAGGGCTGGTGGTACAGGGTGCTTTGTGTTTCATTAAACACCGGTGTCTGACAGTCTGGCGCTAAGGAATGGATCACAGGTCATTAATGAAAACTTCATTTAGTTTTGCTGAAAGAAAATTCATCATTTACAGCAACAAACGCTAAACGAAATGAAGAAGCAGTGAAAAACAAATATTCACAGTTCATTAGCTTGTAGAGACACATTTAACAGCCATAACTTGAAGTACTTATTTTCGGTGTAACTTTATTAGTCTCTCACATTGCTGTTGAGGATGTTTGGCTCACGAACTAAAACACTCATGTTGTTTTAGTTCATTGAGGTTTGTGGGTATTCAATTCTGCACGACTCTGTTTAGATCCCTCCAGAGCATTTAAATTGTGTTAAATGAACTTGAGTCTTTTCTTTTTCAGCCATCATGTTGCAGATTTGCTGATCTGATTGGGACCAGATTCCTCCTGCATGACCCAGTTTCAGCTAAACTTTATCTTTGGCTGTGAAATGAGACCAAATCATTACTCCACCAATAGTGTGCAGTGGCCTATAGAGTCTGAGAAATGTCTCTTGTATGTTTCTCTCGCGGTCTCGCCTCGGAGCTAGTGTTCTAGGATGACTAGGATGACTACCATTGGGATAGAGTAGGAAAGCACTGTATAAGAACCAGTTCATTGACCAGTAACACTTACTTTTCTATTAGTTTGTTGCATGTTTTTGCAACTTTTTTGAGACATGTTGCTGCCATCAAATTCTAAATAAGCCAGTATATTTTCCTAAGATGCTACATTTTCTTAGTTTAAATATTTGATCTATTTTCTATGTTCTGTTGTGAATAAAAATGTTTATGAGAATAACAAATGATTACTTTCAGTTTTTATTTATCGCCTATATACAGCTCCTAGCTTTCAGTGAGCTTGTTTCTCACACTCTGTATTTTGGTTTAGGTTTTGTTGTATAAATAGTGACATAGTGTAATGTCACGTACTGTTCATTTGAGGATGTGTCTCAAAAATGTTATGACTTGCCGAGGACCACGTGATTTTTATTATGCCCTGATATGTAAAATCTCGAGAAAGAGCCTTTACTTTCTTTTTTATGCGTATAAAACATGTACCTTATTTGAAATGGTCTCTTTACAGCTACAATATGTCTAAAATACTGCATATAATTATTTTTGATAGCACATATAACCTATCATATATTAATTAAGCATTAATAGTTAGAATTGTAGTTTTTCTTACTAGTAAACCACATGAAAGGTTAAATAAATGTTAATTCACCAATAATTAACAACAGTTATTATAAGTGTTTCTTTTGTCTGAGCTGTTTGAAAAGTATTGGCAAATGAGCCAAAAAGAACACTTTTTAAAGCATTTTAAGGTGGTTCTTTCAGGTAAACCGAGATAGAACTTGTGCAGATCTGAAACTACACACTAATACACAAAAAAAGATCTGCTCACGCTCAAATGTTGAACTTTAGAAGTCGCAAAGATTAAATATAACCTACATGTTCCCGACGGTCAAAGGTACTTTCAACGATCAACATCTCCCCAGATCCTGCCTTTGAAACCCCATCAATACAAATCATGACTGAGACACACCCTACCATGATGCCATTTAAAAGCAAAACAATAAACCACACGCACAGTTTTAACTCACTCACCAAGAACCCACAACAGCAGGCAAAGTGTCATCGTTGGCATCATCCGTTAATGCTTTGTTGTTCTTCTCTGACAAATTTGATGTGAAAATTTCAAACCAATCTTCTCCTCGTGACTGACAGCTGTCACCTTGATGTCTGCTTGAACTCTTCATTCAGTAAGTCTTGTATATACAAAAACAGGAACTAGCTAAACCACAGTGAACTACATCAGCTGACTTGTTATTGCTTGCAGACTTACGTAAAGCTTTGACTTTGACATCAGGGCCACCATGAGGTCGATAATTGCAGCTTTTGTTACAGGTCTTTTGTACAGATTTGAAATGTTTATCCAGAGGATGCTTTTTACTCTAGTGGTTCTCTGACTTTTCCATGACTTATTTTCAACAGATCTTACTTTGAAGGTTAGCTTTTCTCATGTGTAATGTTTAACTTCCTGTGTCTGTCTTCCTCCGATTCCCTGATTGGTCTCACCTTTTAACACTGCTACATGTTGACTAATTAGTTTAAATATATACATGCCTATATGTACACGACTTAAGTGTTACCAGATTATAAATGTGCAGGACCTGATAATGTGATAATACAGCAAAAACTTGCTGCACAATGTAAGTGCAAAATCTCTCCTTTGGGTTAGGCACCAGACTTTATCACTGATTGCAAAAGCTAAAATGCAAACATTATCTATGCCACAAGAAGAAATGACCAAGACGTAAAACAAAAATCTTTTCTGTGTCAAGTTGTATCATCTTGGTAATAATTTATTTCAAAGCAGATGATGGACACTGGTGACAAGAAGAATAAGATCTGAGCAAACGTTCACCAGATTGTGCCAGCAGTAATGCAAATCAGAGTCAGACTTCAGTCAGGTGCACTATATTGCCAAAAGTATTATCTTATGTGCCTTCACAGGCATATGACTAACATCTCATTCTTAATCCGAAAGGGTTTAATATGATGTTGGCCCACCCTTTGCAACGAAAACAGCTTCAACTCTTCTGGGAATGTTTTCCCCCACGTTTAGGATTCTGTTTATGGGAATTTTTCACAATTCTTACAGAAGCACATTTGTTAGGTCAGACACTGATAAAGGCCTGGCTCACAGTCTCAACTCCAATTCATCCCACAGCTGTTCTTTGTGTTGAGGTCAGGACTCTGTGCAGGTCAATCAGGTTGTCAGGTGTAAGGCTTGGATGCAGCTGCTCGTCCATAGAAACCCATTCTAATCTGAAGACCACATGACGTTTGGACTCTGCAGCAATTGACTCTGCAGAAGGTTGGAGACCCGGGCTCGCTTTATGTGCCTCAGCATCTCCTGACCCCACTGACTTTATGTGGCCTAGCACTTTGTGACTGTGTTTCTGACATTCCCAATAACTTCCAGTTGACTGTGGAATATTCAGTAGCAAGGAAATTGGTCTTGTTGCACAGATGGCATCCCATCACACTACTACACTGAAGTTCACTGAGCTCCTGAGAGCAACCCATTCTTTCTCAAGTGTTTGTAGAGGTGGTCTGCATGCCTAGGTGTTTGATTCTATACAAATGTGCCCATGAAGCAACTGAAAGATCTGAATTCAATGATTTGGATGGATGAGGGAATTCTTTTGTCAATATACTTATTAGTATAGGTTTTGAATAACAGTTCTCAGTTGGAGGAGAATCTGATAGATGCATTCACAGGCAGTGTGCACATGGGTGAAACTGTGCTTTCTACATACAGACCTCATCTATTACTGCTTAAAAATAGAGAGAAACATGGTTTCTTGGTGTTTGAAGTCAGATCGGTGATTATGTTTGCCACCTGAAAACTATGTAAGCAGGAAACCAAATCTCTTTTTCTTCCAACAAACAACACAGCAAAGACAAAAGCACAGGAGCATCACAACGTGGAAAAATTTCACCTTAAAGACAAACATGAAGTTTAAAATGTTATATTAACAACAACAAATCATATTCACAGAGGTTTAAAAGAAAAAATAACATCTGATATCTGCATGGGAAATCAAAATCCACTGACTTTGCATCATTATATATTGCACTAATATTTTAGTCAGCTGAAGTAAGGCTTTTGATACTTTACCTGTGTGTTCGTTTGCATATGAAGACAGCAGCAAAAACACATAAACAGGAAGACACAACTGATCAGAGCAACCTGACACTTTAGATACTGTTTCAAGGATTGTCACTCACTTTGTTTGAATTTCAGCATTAAAATTTCCTCCATCTGTTCAAAATGTTCAAAAAATACACATAAGCAAAAAATGAACTTACTGTACACTTAGAATGGCTTTGTCAGGCACATGAGCCAGTCTGGTAAATACAAACAGCAATAAAAACAACAGTAAGGACAAATAAGGTCTAATCTCACAACACTCAGTGCCTTGTATATTAGTACTGATATTTAGGACCCTAATGAGAATAATAAAGACAGTACTGATGAAACATCTATTCGTTTTAACACTACAGCCTTATTTTCCGCTATGCTATGCAGTGCAACTGATCGTGCTATAGAGAAGTGTCATCAGGAAGTAAAAAATCTGATATAATCTCTCTCATGAGCTACACTTTCCTGCCTGGGATTTCCATCCTGTGTGAGGCCTTTAATCTTGACATACAGTAGTTGAAATAACTTTCATTTTTACTCATGATCAGGTTTAGCAAAACCACACTAAAAAAAACAAGTAAAATTCTACCATCCTTTAACCTTCTCTTCCATTTTTCTTGTTGTGGTGACACACTAGGCAGTTCCTTCAGGCAACTGGTTGCATATACATCTATGGGAAAGGCTTCCTTGCTCTGTAACCTTGGGAACACTTCCCTGATGACTTTGTCACAATCGCTGGTCATCAGGCCATACTGAATGGAAGATGAAGTGCATTTTATGATTGACCTGTTGACAGGTTGACTCTTTCTCAGTCAGATCCACCCCTCGTTTATCACATACAGTTTGAAAAACACCCAGATGATGACAGTACATACAGTCAGGTCAAGGCTGGGACTTTACAGACCACATTGTCTGCACTCGTCTTTTATGACATCTGTGTCTCTGATTCAAGATGAGGGTTTGTCCCTGACAAACCACAGATGGTATAAAAGATAAATGTAGGCACTGTGACTTTGCCCATCAGTTTGCGAAGCCTCAAAGTCAATGTTTCAGGGTTTATAATTAATCACAGGAACCAAAGGTGTGGATGTGACTATGACTATAAACCAAGGAACATCACATACTCTTTAAATAATGACTAGTCATTAGTAAATAAGCAAACTAACATCCATAATCATCTTTTCTGAGCATAATAATAATCATTTGCAAAAGGAACTTACTGCTTTACTCGTTATCACAACAAATTAGTGAATGAGCTTATAAATTCATTAGGAAGTGTTTAGTGAAATAAGGGGCGAAGAGCTGATTTAAGACAGGTCTGCTTTAACTTCAGACTCTGAAGCTCTGTCCATTTTTTATTCTGTTTTTTCATAGCTGCTATGTCAGATGTTGGATGGATATTTGAGGTTTAGAAATGTCTTTGAACTACCATACACGTTAAAAAAAACGAAGAAAATGTTGGGAATATAAGCAAGGTTAAATTTTACTGCCTCCTTTTATAAGAGAAAAAAATTGCTGGTGTTAAAAGTAAGAAAGAATTGTTCTCGCATTAACAGTTTTAATGAATCATTTTGAATATTAGTGAATTGTTTACTGGATATGAAAACACAATAAAATAAATTAAAGTTTAGATCTATTTGATGCAAAGTCACTTCAATGCATGTAAGGTAAGAGTTATTGTCAACCAGCTTCTGCAGCACTTTGTCCTTCCTGAGGAGGAGGAATAAAAAGGTCACTCTGCATTTTGAACCACATGTCTAACTTTTTCCATCTCAACAAAACCATGCAAAGATTTAAGAAAAATATGGTAGAAAACTATTTTCACGCATTCCCACAAATATATAAAAACTCAGTACTGATTCTTCCAAAATCATCTCCTTCAAAATCATTTTATAAATATCAGTCATATTCACATGGGGAAAGCATCAACATTTTCAAGTGCTGCCAGGAACATACACAACATCTGAATTATATTATACTACTTAAATTATTCTGCTATATATTAATCCTCGAATGAGGAAAGTAGTTTCATGCTACATGTTTCTCCTTGAGCTCAGTCTTTTGCTGGTGGTCACAAACATATCCTTGATCTTATCAGCAGCAATCTGGGAGGCAGATTTTTTACAGGGGTTGCATTCGTTACTCCTCAGAATAACAGTCCCAAGGCAATGCTGTGCTCCTGGCGCAAGGCAGCCAACTCCTTCAGGAACTCGGCGTACAGGATAATGGCGAAGACTCGGCTCTTGGCTTGAGGGGGAAATAGTAGGACAGGGGGGCAAGACACTGAAAGGAGGCAAAGGCAGAGCGTTCTTCACAGAGCCATTGGGGAAGCGATGGATCCAGGATTGATGTCACCGCCCTGAGACTGGAGGCACTCTGCGGGACACACACAAGTATCATAAACTGACGTCTGAAAAACGTTTTATTTGTAACTTTCCAAAAATGACTGTGTTCACACTTTCGGAGGTGCCTGACAACATCTACAAATTATGTATTTCAAGCTTAGTCAGAGGCTTGCCAGCGCTATCCAGTGCCTAAGGAAAGCAGATGTACTCATCTGTGGCTCCAGTGTTGACTGCCCAAGAGTAATAAATGAACATTCTCAGTTTCACAAGATGTATTCTAGTCCAGAGCTTCTCTGATGAAAGGGCCACAAAGGCCGGAAACATTAGGATGTTTGCTGGCATGGCCAGAATAAGTTGGTGAAATTAGAGCTGTCGACTTAACAACTCTTTTACGTCTTTTTAAGCACAACTTTTCACAGTGGATCATCTCTTTGTTCTTTTTTATCCTCTGTCATGCCATCACAGCTCCTCAGCCGCTTAAAGACATTCAGTCATTCTTACTTTGTCCAACCTGAGCTGTTTCTCCATATCCTCACTCCTGAATCTGTCTGCCCTGAATCTTTCATTTCTATTCCTCCTGCTACCTTTCTGCCAAAAAAAACCCCATTCTGCCCAATCTGAGCTTCCTTCAGCTCTTTTCCACAACCCACTGTTGCTTGAGTGGTTGACTATAACTATTTAATACTCATCTAACAATATTCCACTGTCCTCCATACCAATTCAATTCAATTCTATGTCATCTGCAAACAGCATAGCTGACAGAGACTCTTGCCTGCTCTTGTCCATCACAACGTGTCCATTTAAAGCAGACTATCTAACTTGTTTCCTTTAACTTTAACATATGTTGTTTTGTATCCTGTTTATATGTGTACTTATTAACCTCTGAATTTGCCCCATCTTGGTCTTTTGCCAACAAGAACCTCCAGGCCTGAGTGACTAGAGCAGGATAGTCTGGTCTGGCCATCACATAGCGCTCTATCTGAGCATGCAGCGACACCAGCACCTACAGAATGAAAAGTGAACATAACATTTTTATTAACAAAATCCAATCTGACCTGCATGAGTCGTGTCAGATTGTATGACTCCTACCTGGTAAAGTGTGCGAACGTTAGGCTGGTTTTGTGTGTCTGTGCTGAGCAGGGAAGGATCTCAGGAGAGGTTGTGGGTACCGATGCCAACTGGGCCAGGATGCCTGTCACAAGCAGGTTTACAGCAATAGAGTTTTCGAGAAGGTTCTCCAGCCGAGACAAGAGCACACTGATGAATGGACCTGGTTAGTGTACGTCAAGAGAAAATGCATTGTATCAGGTGTAAAATATTGGGGGGGGGGGAGGGGGTGTCTTTTAGTCTTACAACTGACATCCAACCAACAGCTTTTTTGTATTTTCAGTGGCTACATTTATTTTTGACCACGTTACCATGTTGCAAATCTACATTACGTTAAGCGTTAATTGGAAAAAATTCTGAATATTTGACACAAAAGAAACTTTCTCATTCTGTCTTGTAAAAATGTGTATAGTGACTGAGGTTAATAAATCAGTGAAGCTGCTTTAAATGTTACACAAGCACAGACCTGTAAATGGAATTTGATGTCTCCTGCCGCCTTTCTTTGTGTCGCTCCTGATCTTCTCCGCTTCTTCTTCCTCTCGCATCACCTCTTCCTCTTCTTCTGCCCCAACGTCATCCCCAAAGGAGCGAAAACCAAAGTCAGTGCAAAGCTCTTCCTCCTCCTCTTCAAGTCTTTGCCTTAGCACTTGGACACGCTTCCTGAATGTGTCAATATCCTCTGTGATGTCCTCATAGTCTGGTTCTACCCCTAATGACAGCATGAGCTCACAGTATTGGGACAGGAAGTCATTGTTGTTTGTGTTGTCGTCAGGCAGGCTTGGAGATATGGGACGGTCAAATGATTCAGATCCATGATGGCCATTGGTTAAAGTGTTTTTTACTAAACATGTTGAGGGTGACTGCATGCTTTCATGTACATGTTGCTGATGTGCTCCAGGTGTATGGCTGACACGAGCTGTAATGTATATATCATCATCTGCATCATCACATTCGTCGATGATGTCATTGTTTACATTGAAGCCATTGGTAAAGAGCTGATCTCCCAGTGACCCTCTGTGTCCAAATATCCTTTTGGTTTCTTCTTCTTCTCCTTCCTTTGTTCTCCCTATCTCCTTTTCACAGTCCTCACTCCTTCTTCTTTCCTCTTTTCCTGCATCCTCGCTCCTCCTCCTCGCCGACATAATGCTGTTTACAGTTTCCAGAACCGTCCTTCCTGTTGTTGTTAACATCGTTGTTAATGTTGTCGCTGTTGCTGAAACTCGCTGTCCTTTCGAGATGCTCCCACGGGATTGGCGATTTGCCAGCATGATCCGATCCAAAATGGCTGCCTTTGCATCCTTTTTAGCAATGAGATCATAGACAAGAACGTCATCCTGAAACTCGGATTCTTCAACATAAGAGCCGCGCACCAGCTTGGTTGCATTGCGCCGCATTTCCTGGATGTGTCGAGGAGGCAGTGGGGGAGGTGCTGGCGGAAATGTGCATGTGTCTGCCTCCAATGATACATCCCCATTCGCCAGCACCACGTTTACCACAGCTGAAACCAAGGGATTGTCATCTGCAAAAATGTCATCCCACTCCAGTTCAAGGGCGGAGCTGGCTCTGCCCGCTTGGCTGTTATCTAAAGAGGATGGTGTAGGGGAGAGGGCAGAGGGCAGAGGACTGATAACCAGTGAGCAGATGGAGTCGCTCTTGACTCGCTGCATGAACTCTTCCTCATCTTCCATGTTGTTACCAGGTGTATCAGATCGATACTCTTGAAGTGGAGGATTGATGCCATCATAAGAAGCCGACCATAAACGGCAAGACCTGCCAACAAAGAAAAAAATATAGATTCAATAAACTTCTCTGAAATTACTCAGTGTATAACTTTTAGTTAAATTCGAAAAATTCCCAAATCATAACCACAGGGCTCTGTCACAGCAATGCTCTAAATTAACATTATAAATACTAAGATCCCAGTCAAATCCATTCACTGGATTGATCATGGATGGAGGCCCAAAGTGATGAAACCCAGTGCAAGGCAGTCCATGACCTTGAGCCCATATTCTGATTGGTAGAGGTAGGGACACAAGCGTGTCCCGAGCGTGGCACGAGTTGGGCCTAAACAACATTAGGATGGTAGTTTAAAAGTCAGTAGTGTCACAGCTGTGTCCTCATGTGTCTCCACATCCCCTGATCACCTCATGTGTGTATTTAAGTCCTCTGTCTTCCTGTGTTCAGCGTCATGTCGTCTGTGTGTCACCCTTCATGTCATGTCAGGTTTCAGGAGTCTGTGCTATAAGTTTATAGTTCCTTCATGTTCCTGCACGACGTCCTGTTCATAGTCATCACAGTGACCTTGTCATTGTCTTCCTAGTTTTTATAGTGAAGTCTCAGTTTTCTTAGTTTTCAGTTTTCCCCAGTTTAGGTTCCAGTTTAGTTTTGCCTCTGTGCTTCCTGCCTTGTTTTGTTGCCCTGATTATCAGCCGTAATAAAAGGCTCACTTTTTGTTCAAGTTAGTTTTGGTCTCCTCACCTGAGTCTGCTCCTGGGTCCTCACACACCCACACACGGTCTGCCCCCGCAGAGGCTTAAAAGTATGTATTTATGCAAACTTTTACACTAAGACTTTCAGATCTGAAACAATAATGGCATTCCCATTAGCCAACCATTATCAGATATTTGCATGCCAACTCACAAAACAAAGAGTATAAACAAGTAAGCATTAGCATGTAACTTAAAGTGTTGCTCAGTCTTAGCGTGGCTGTAAGCTGTTGTTCTCGTTTCTTTTATTAGTCTGTTTCCTGCACCTAAGATTACAACGATAAGGAGTGCATTTTTTTGTTTGATTTTGGTTTCACTGTCAGATAAAAGACCAAACTCATTATTGTGGCAACATTTATCTATTACCACAAATGTCTCAGTTCTCCTACCTTAGATGTGCCTTGCTGGTTTTCAGTTCGCGCTTATCTAATTGTAGTTTGAAAAGCAAAACTATGAACTTTAACTCGCCTCTGTCAGTGCGCCCCAGGGTGGCTGTGGCTACAATGTAGCTTGCCATCACCAGTGTGTGAATGTGTGTGTGAATGGGTGGATGACTGGATATGTAAAGCGTTATATAAATACAGGCCATTTACCATTTAAAACCAATAACAACAATCAAGGTTTTTAGTACAAATGTAATAGCATATGTTGACCAGCAGATGTCACTATAACACTATGAACCACTTTCACTGTTTCACACTCTGGTTTGCTGCATGTTTCCCAGTAAGTGGTGCAATGCACCATGTACACCAGTTATGAGAAACAACCCAAATCACATTTAATTTTAGTAATCAGACCCAGGCTGAACCATATTCTTTTTGTAGAAGAAGAAGAAAGGCACACTAACCTGCGGGCAGTGGAGATAGCCTGACAGGCATCCCAGAGGTAATGGAGGTAGTTTACATCCATCAGGAAGTCTGAACCACGACAGTAACCAACGCTGTCTGACACTGACAGATCTGACAGACGGTTCAGGAGGAACAGGTCAGTACAGCCAAAGCTAATGTATAAATAAGCCGTTACCCGCTAACATACTGACCGGTTGCTTTGGGCCAGTGGATGTGCTCTGAGTGTGTGAGTGAGTTTTGGAGCTGCAAAGGGAACCAGGAGGGCATCAGCAGTAGGAAGGAGGCAGCACTGGAGGAGTAACAGTCCCTCTGCTTCAAGAAGCAGCGCTGCTTCCTGCTCAGGTGGCTGCAGGGAATCAGATACCTGAGGAGACACAGAGCAGTTACACTCAGTCCAAGCATGTTATACACAACTGGCATCCAGGTGCAGTTTCCCCATGTTAAAATGCTTTATAGTAAGTCAATAAAGGAAGCTGTAGCTGACAGTGATCAGTGAGGTCTTACCATCATAGATAGAGTGTTTGTGCTGCTGGTGTTTTAAATGGATCGTCTAAATAATACATTTTCTGCAGTGAAGTTCCAGTTTTAGTGAAACTGTAATATTTTATTAGCACTAATTAAAAGATGTGTGTCTGTGAGTTGCTGTTAGACTGACCTGAAGACCAGCTGCAGCATGACATCTTCACAGAAGAGCCCAATCAGAGTCCTGAACAGAGCCAGCGACACCGTGCCCAACTGAAGGACATGCAAAAGGTCAAAGGTCATTTACTGCATGACAGAGCATGAAGCAGCTGTATTAGATGACTGTGTGGATACCTGGAAAGGTGTGTTGACCCTGCTGACCAGTGTGTCCAGGATGTGAACGTTGTCATGTGTGTGCAGCAGGATGAAGGAGAGGAAGGTCTGGAGGAGGGCGGGCTCAGAGATGGAGCGCAGGAACAGGTCCAAGTATGCTGTGGTAGTCATCACTTCCTCCACCGTCAGCTACTCACAGACAGACAAATGATCACATACACTAGGATGTGATTAAGTAATAGGTATTCCATGCAGGTGTTTTTATCCTGCTGGAATTACAGTAAAAATGCTGTATTAATAGCTTTCCTGTGAGATGTTTACTGGTGACTAAATGTAAAAGATGAGGAAATAAATGTCCTGTCTGGTCACTTTAAAAACTTTAGTGGCTACAAAAACAGCTGAAATTACTGTATGGTCAAACTTACACTCTATAGAGTATAAGTGTAATGTTTTTGCATGAATAAATAAAGTATTTATGGTTATTACAGCAGGAAGACCAACATAACTGTGTTTGGTAACCAAAACCTCTGACAGTATCATCCTTTAAAACTCTGTGTTATATAACAGGCAACTGTTCCTGTTGTAGATTTCAGGTTTGCTGCCTGTACCTGCACGGCACTTTATCAGGACTTTCTTTACAGTGTCGTGATGAAATGTGATACCTTGTGCAGAGCCGGAGCAAGTACAGGCACAAGGAAGCCATTGTAGATGTAACCAAGCAGCTGGGAGCGGATGGACGGATGAGCCACCTGAGGGAAACAAAGATGTACACTTACAGAGTAAAAATAAAGTGTGCGTGCGTGTGTGTGTGCGCGTGTGTGTGTGTTACCTTGGTAACAGCACTACAAAAGTCCAGAGAGTGCAAAAAGTGGACCAGAGCAGGAACCTGTTGACCCAAACACAAAGTGTTGATTCATTTATTCTCATTAATTCTGTTACTAACTTGTATAATTAATTAACATAGTTTTATTTTTCATACATTTATCTAACGCATACTTGTGCATATTATACTGCACATATCACTTTTTAGATTTAATTACCATTGCATAGCTGTTACACAAGTGTTGCATTGATATACTGGAAAATTAGTTGTCTGGCCAAGTCAGGAAGGAAGGCATTCATGCTTGAGCATAGTACAGATTAAGTGTACTTAAAGTGGAAGCTCTTCATCTTCAGTCCTCTGAAGTAATGAGGAAAACCACAAACTTTGCTTAAATGGCTTAAAACTGAAACCTCCCAGGCACCAACAGAAATACACCCCCCACACACGAAGGTACAAGTCCAGACACTACTTTTGGTTTCTCTCACAGTTTCACTCATTCATGATTTCATCCTGTCACCCCAGCACTGTGGTTGTTACCTGCTGCCAGTCCGCCTGGTCCAGAGAGTGCCAGTCCTCGCTGTAAACCTGCAGCCGAGCCGGAAGAGACGAGTACAGACCGGACAGACCCGTGGCCAGCACCTGCAGCAAACACACACATACAGGTGTTCAAAATTTACATTCTGAAGAAGAGTTGGTCAAAAAGAAACAAAAAGAGAGACAACATTTGAAGACTTTCGCCATACCCTTAACGACCAATTTTAACACCTCAGTGTAAATCAACAGGCATGGTTTAAATTAGAATAGTTTTCAGGTTTTCCAAAGGGTCGCTGCACGGGCATCAGCCCTGATGATGCCTGTGGGGGTATATAAGGGTTCATCAATCTTAAATGATAAGTTCACTGACATTATAGATTTCTTTACCATATTTTTATTTACTATTAAACACTACTATTGTGTCCCTGAAAACATTAGTTCCCTAATCCCAAAAATGTATGCTGACTTTGGAGCCACAACTCCTGCTGAAATTTTATTTTACAACTTGCTGATTTTGGTGTTTCTGGATGCTTTTGACTAAAGGTGGAAGTGACTTGTGGCAAATACTGTCGTGGTCCGTGTTATATTTGTTGTTTTTCTCATGATTCTTTGTATTTCTAGATTGTTCATTTCCTCCTGCCTTCTCTGCTTCCCTTCTTTCTGTAAATCAGGGACCGGGGCCCTCTGGTGGACTGCAGCAACAACAGAAGGTCAGTTTGAAAATTACTCATAGAAACTATGTACAGTTGCATATCTATATAATAATATGTATTTATACAACATGTGTATTAAAACTGTAAATAGGAGGTGGTTAGTTTGTGATAGTACTCATTACTCTGACTGAAATTTGCTGCTCTTCTGTTGCAGGTTGAGTTTTGGTCACACATGACATGACACTTTGCATATGTAAGGCGACCATATTTTGATTTCCAAAAAAGAGGACACTTGGCCCAGTCATGAAAATTTTTAATAATACTGTTTGTTTAAATAAAATTTTAACATATTTAAAAGATGCCTTCTCTGTGCGGTTAATGAATGGTGAAATAAAAAATGTCATATAGGCTTTTACAAGTCAACAAGTGCAAAAAAATAACTTAAAAACCTGTGGAATTAAATAATGTTACAGAAATAATGCCTCATCTGTATAAGAAAGCTTACCAGTGAGGTACCAGTGAGGTATTGTGCAATGGTTTCTGCTGTCTCATTTGGCGTTTCTAACCTCAATTAATTTTGTCTGCACGCCACCATTCTCCCAGTCAAAGTATGATTGGGAATATTTTCTCTGTTCCATGGTTACTTAAGTCTGAGAAATGCCACAGTACTGGATTTCATTAAGAGCTTCAAGAGTGACTTGAACTACCACCTACAGCACAGCAGTTCGGGGATGACGTTGCAGATATGGGTCCTCTGTAGGCCTATAGGAAAACCCGGACATTTTCATCCATCTCAAAAGTCCCCCCGGACGCCTCGGACAGAACGTGAAAAGTGGACATGTCCGGGGAAAAGAGGACGGTTGGTCACCCTAGCATGTAACTGGTAAGCATTAGCAATTTATAGCTCTGTGTTACTTGTGTTTTTTGGGGGTTTTTTTCAATAAAAATTTCAAGGAAATACACCACCACTGTCCTATATAATGATTAAAGAGAAGATTTCAGAGTTTCTGGTTTCTAAATGGGCCACAGCGCTCTTTACTTTGGTAATGGCTTGTCTAAATATTTCAGTGGGACCTACAGTGGGGCAAAAAAGTATTTAGTCAGCCACCGATTGTGCAAGTTCCCCCACTTAAAATGATGACAGAGGTCAGTAATTTGCACCAGAGGTACACTTCAACTGTGAGAGACAGAATGTGAAAAAAAAATCCATGAATTCACATGGTAGGATTTGTAAAGAATTTATTCGTAAATTAGGGTGGAAAATAAGTATTTGGTCACCTCAAACATGGAAAATCTCTGGCTCTCACAGACCTGTAACGTCTTCTGTAAGAAGCTTTTCTGTCCCCCACTCGTTACCTGTATGAATGGCACCTGTTTGAACTCATCATCTGTATAAAAGACACCTGTCCACAGCCTCAAACAGTCAGACTCCAAACGCCGCCATGGCCAAGACCAAAGAGCTTTCGAAGGACACCAGGAAAAGTATTGTAGACCTGCACCAGACTGGGAAGAGTGAATCTACAATAGGCAAGCAGCTTGGTGTGAAAAAATCAACTGTGGGAGCAATCATCAGAAAATGGAAGACATACAAGACCACTGATAATCTCCCTCGATCTGGGGCTCCACACAAGATCTCATCCCGTGGGGTCAAAATGATCATGAGAACGGTGAGCAAAGATCCCAGAACCACACGGGGGGACCTGGTGAATGACCTGCAGAGAGCTGGGACCAAAGTAACAAAGGTCACCATCAGTAACACACTACAACGGCAGGGAATCAAATCCCGCAGTGCCAGACGTGTTCCGCTGCTGAAGCCAGTGCATGTCCAGGCCCGTCTGAAGTTTGCCAGAGAGCACATGGATGATACAGCAGAGGATTGGGAGAATGTCATGTGGTCAGATGAAACCAAAGTAGAACTTTTTGGTATAAACTCAACTCGTCGTGTTTGGAGGAAGAAGAATACTGAGTTGCATCCCAAGAACACCATACCTACTGTGAAGCATGGGGGTGGAAACATCATGCTATGGGGCTGTTTTTCTGCCAAAGGGACAGGACGACTGATCCGTGTTAAGGACAGAATGAATGGGGCCATGTATCGTGAGATTTTGAGCCAAAACCTCCTTCCATCAGTGAGAACTTTGAAGATGAAACGAGGCTGGGTCTTCCAACATGACAATGATCCAAAACACACCGCCCGGGCAACAAAGGAGTGGCTCCGTAAGAAGCATTTGAAAGTCCTGGAGTGGCCTAGCCAGTCTCCAGACCTCAACCCCATAGAAAATCTGTGGCGGGAGTTGAAAGTCCGTGTTGCTCGGCGACAGCCCCAAAACATCACTGCTCTCGAAGATCTGCATGGAGGAATGGGCCAAAATACCAGCTACTGTGTGTGCAAACCTGGTAAAGACCTATAGTAAACGTTTGACCTCTGTTATTGCCAACAAAGGTTATGTTACAAAGTATTGAGTTGTATTTTTGTTATTGACCAAATACTTATTTTCCACCCTGATTTACGAATAAATTCTTTACAAATCCTACCATGTGGATTCGTGGATTTTTTTTTTTCACATTCTGTCTCTCACAGTTGAAGTGTACCTCTGGTGCAAATTACTGACCTCTGTCATCATTTTAGGTGGGGGAACTTGCACAATCGGTGGCTGACTAAATACTTTTTTGCCCCACTGTATTTGTCTTTTTTGATTAATCATACATTAAGAAAATGGATATAGCTGTGAGTCCAAGAGCTGCAGCCTTTAGACAAAACCACGAGAGGCCTTTCCTTGTGTTTCAGGTCTTTATGCTAAGCTAAGCTAAATGGTAAATGGCTCACACTAAAAATGGCATTTCACAAACTGGTCCTTTAAACACAGAGGTGAGCAAAGAAGTAGCCTGCGGAGCGAGAAGTTGTTTCTAAAAAGAAAAGAAAGACATTGTTTCATTTGAGACAAAAGAAACAGGGATGAGATATCAGGAAAAAGGAAGAAGAGAGGAGGAGAGCTGGTGATCAACATCAGTATAAACAGCAGCAGTGGTGGCGGCGCTGGTCGTCAACAGCTGCCGTCTCGGGTCTCGTTAGCAATCGGGCAGGCGTCCAATCATGTGCAGACTTGCTAATCCCTCTTTGTGTTGGGGCCAATCTCACGCTGATTTACTAAGCTGCTCTCTGCATAAAGATTGAGGTCAGCTAGTGGTCACATGAGCTTAAATCTGACACATGGACAAACACAAGCACACACAGGTGGCACGTGCTCAGATGTCTTTGCTCGCCCTTTCACATATGAAACCCCCACCGTGGGTCTCTCTCTCACACACAGTCAGGAACTGGGAGGGTTGGAGCCAACATGGCTGACGCAGTGATAAACACTGAAACACACAAACATGTACTTACATTACTGTAACATTTAAGGGTCTTTTTTTATTGTTATGACATTTTATCACATATACATATGTTTTTATATTTTCTTTAATTACTTTAATTGTTTTTTCAAGTAACTGACTGCTTAATTAATCAATTACTAATAGTAAGGTTCATTCAATTTTGTAGAAACACGATTTTTCTTCAAATGTTCCCGTTTTCTCTTATTTCTCTTTGCTGTTTCTTTGGGTTTCCCTCTTAAGCCCCCTTCATCACTTTCCACAGTAGTTTTCCCTCAGTTATCTGCTTCTCCTCTCTCTCTGTATCCATCACACACAGTCCCAGAGGAAGCAGTATGAGCTCATTAGTTTATTGCATAACTTGCGCTAATGAGATTACAATACAGAGGGGAGATGAATGGGGGGGAGCTCATACACTTGGCTCAAAAACTACTGATTGTATTCATTAAACAACCATCTGGTTCATAAAAAATCTGTTAAATGATCAAGGGTCGGGCTGTTAAAGGGCCTTTTTATTCTCCTAATTCCTCTCATTTCCCTTCTTATCCGTGCAGTTTGCACTTTTAATAAAAGTTATCCAGATCTGTGAGAAACATGTATTTGATTCTTTCTTTCTTAGTTTGTGCTCAATCCTCTCAAGTAAGTTTTATGAAGTGTGTGTATAATCTTGCTGACAAACAGAGAAACAGAAAACAGTCAGTTGCTTCACTTCAGCAGAGGAATAAACGCCCTTTTTCTCTGCAGGCTGGAAGGCATGTGGAGATTAACCCAGTTTAGCTGGGCTAATGGGGGTCTATGTGAGATAAACTGGTGGCTCAGCTTGTGAAGAATAGCTTTAAACACTTTACAGATGTGACATAAATCTCACGTATTTAAAGTTTCACAGCATAATGCAAACACAGAAGTCTTAATCTAACACCACTTTGTTCTCACCATATTCATAATGTTGCACAATGTCTTTGAGAAAACTGAGAAAACAGGTTACCTGGGTACCCCTGTAATATATTAACTACACTGTGAGTCGTTAATCAGCAGTATCCTTCACCCTGATTGGTCGTCTCTTCAAGTGTTAAATGATGTGGTTCTTATATCGCAGTTTTGAGCTCTATTAGTGCTTTTTATGCCTCACTCACACAAGCACCTTTTTCTAGACTTAAGTGCTTTCTTTCTAAACTTTACGCACATTCAATCGTCATTTACATTTTTGAGACTTGTACACATCCAGTTAAGTTCATAAGTTTTTTGACAATGACACAATTTATGTAGTTTGGCCTCATAGCACCACCAAAGATCAAAGCAAAAAATCAACATGTGATCAAAGTGCAGGGATTTCATTCAAGGGATTTAACAAAAGTCAGAGATATTTTTCTCTCATTTTCAAAGGCCCAGAAATAACTCAATAGTTGACTGACAAGCAGTTTTATGGCCAGGTGAGGTCTGGTCCTTTGTTTAAAACAGATTTAAAAAATAGAGAGTTGAACTTGTATGTGCTAGCTTTTTACTGGAATTCTCCATTTGACTGTTAGTCAGGTGTCAATCTAAGTGAATGAGGTCATCGTTTGGCTGAAACACCAAAAGAAAACTGTGAACCCATCACAACATCGAGCCGAGTCAAGAACACAGGTAGGTGTGTCATCATTATGGTTTACAGTCAGGAAACGCCTTCACAAGTACAACCACAGAAGGTTCACAACAATGTGCAAATAACCGGTTCCACTCAAGAACAGGAGGTATGTCCACACACACACACTCACGCACACTCACACACACACGCACACACACACACACACACACTCACTCACACACACACACACTCTCACACACACACACACACTCACACACACTCACACACACACACACACACACACATGCACACACACACACACACACACTCACACACACATGCACACACACGCACACACATAGTAGTAAGTATCTTACTCCTGTCCCCTACATTTTCACTGTCCCTACATCTCACTGTATCTTACACAGTGTGTAAGATATATGGAAGGTAATGTGATGGCATGCATGTTGCCAGTGGCACTAATGCTTATTGATTATGTGACTGCTGATCAAAGCAGCTGGATGAAGTGTAAAGTGTCCAGAATCAGACACACGCTGCAAAACTGCACAGATGAAGCTTCACAGTGCAAATGATGATGACCCAAAGCAACCCAATAGTAATTCAAGGCAAAGACATGGAATAATCTTCGTTGGCCAAGTAATTCAGATGATCTCAACTCAACTTATTAAACACAGAACTGACCCACAAACAAGCAGCAGCTGAAGGTGGCAGCAGTAAAGACTGAGCAGAGCATTTTGAGGCAGGGAATCATCCAAGTATAAAAAACAAGCCTCTGAAAATGTTGGACTGTGTATGAAAAAATGGTCTGTAATTCTTAAACAGTTATCTTTTTATGTTGTGCATTTACTTACAGGACAGAAGTATGTGTTCTCTGCAATGTGCTGAGCGACTCGAGGCTCAGAGGCAGACAGAGACATGATGAGCAGCAGAGCATCTCGGGCCTGTTGACCTACCAATCCCTGCCTGAGAGACAGAGATAACACAGGCTATGAGTTTTGTGCAGTTCTGAAGTACATACATTACCTGTGTGTTACCTGTGTACATTTGTGTTACCCTTTTTTATCCAGCAGAGTGTATGCACCTGTGTGTGTGTACCTACCTGTGTGTATACGGGATGAGCAGGGAGAAGAGAAGGAAGTTGGCAGCTCCCTGGTCCTCGCTGGTGTGGAAGAACAGTTCGAGCACTGAGGGATCCTTGACCAGAGCCACGCAGAGCTGGTTCAGCAGGAGAACTAGCTCCGCCTCCACCACGCCGCCGGTGTCTGCAGGGGGCCGCAGGTGATTAAAGGGTCAGGTAACCAATTAAACGTCTTACTGGTTAGTGGTTACACCTCCAGCTTGAGAAATGACCTCATAATTAACCACTTAAATCCATTTTGATGTAAAGATGAGGGGGAAATAATCACCTTATTTGAAATACCATTCTTTGTTTGCTGTGGTTACACTGTGTGTACTGATGCTTTTTCACAGTGTCTGCAAAAGGCTTCAAGTGACACTTCAGGTACTTAATGTAAAAATCTAAACCTAAAAACATCCCTTAATAAATGAAGCTATCACTTAAACAATTGCCCCTACTTTCTGTCAGAAACATCCGTTATACATATATATATATATATATACACATACATACATATATATATATATATATATATGCAGCTGGATAGCGTAGTGGTTAGACTACACGCCTTTGGAACAGAGGATCGCAAGTTCGATTCCTGCCTGGGGCGTCTGTATCCAGTAAGGGTCCTAAGGCTAGACCCCCTATGCTAAGCGAGCCTACCGCAGACATGAGCGAGACAGATAAGTATGAAGGCATGCCGGCTCGGACGTCGCCCGGATCAACAAGGTCCGCGTCAGGTGTTGAGGAACCAGGGCACCCTGACGACAAGTGGGCTACTGGAACAAGAAGGCATCGGTGGGCAAGAGACGAAAACAGGGCGTTGTTGGAATGCTACTACGCAAGTAACGCTGGCGGAAGGGGCTACATGAATAGGATGAGGGACATCCACAATGACGGCGAAACAACTAGTAGCTCAGTGTTCAAGGGACTGCTCTCACAGCTAGAGATTGACGAGGTACAACACAAATGCTACGGCAAGGAGGAGTCAGGACGCCAGGTCAGGGGGGCGATATCATCACCCCCACCCGAGATTGGGTACATAGCCCCAAGTGCGATAGAAGAAGGATCGTTGAGTGCGAGAGGAACTGACCTGAAAAATAGGATCATGGCCAAGCTTGAAACCTGGATCCCCCGTAGTCGGTTACCAAGATTACGTGAAGTACCCTCAGAAGGTCTGCTAGATGATGTTAATGCAGCACTACGGGCAATACCTACAACCACGATTACCGACACTAACAAGCTGATCTACAATACGGCAGCAGTGATCAGTGAGATGCTTGGCTACAAGTTGAACAGTGACAAGGGGCAGTACCCTCCATGGAGAAGGAGGCTAGAGGGCAAGATCAAAGTAGCACGGAGGGAGGTTAGCCAACTAACGGAGTTGCAGAAAGGTGCGACAAATAAGGTGCCTAAGAAATACAGCAAGCTGTCCATACCTGAGGCCTTGGAAACTGCCAAGCAAAGACTCACAGCCTTGGCCAGCCGCTTGAGGAGGTACACCAGAGAGATAGAAGGCAGGAGAATAAACCAGCTGTTCTCCACAGAACCAGCAAAGGTGTACTCTCAGTGGCAAGGGAACAATAAGAGAACAGCACCACCAAGGCTGGAGACCGAGCAATACTGGAAGAGCATATGGGAGAAGGATGCAACCCATAACGGCAATGCTCAGTGGCTAGAGGATCTGAGGGCAGACCACAGCGACCTCCCTGAACAGGGTCCAGTAACCATCACAGTGGCAGATATCCAAGAAAGGGTCTCCAGTATGAAGAGTTGGACAGCACCAGGGCCCGACATGGTTCACGCCTACTGGCTGACTGCACTCCACGAGCGTCTGGCAGCACAAATGAACCAGCTGCTAGTTAACGAGAGACACCCGGAATGGCTAACTGAAGGCCGGACGGTCCTGATCCCCAAGGACCCCAAGAAGGGACCGGTCCCCTCCAACTACCGACCAATAACCTGCCTCAGTACTACATGGAAGCTCCTGTCAGGCATCATATCGGCTAAGATGAACAGGCACATGGGTCAATGCGGGACACAGAAAGGAATTGGCAAGAATACCAGAGGCGCAAAACACCAGCTACTGGTAGACAGAACAATCAGCCGAGACTGCAAGACCAGACTGACCAACCTGTGCACTGCCTGGATTGATTACAAGAAGGCCTATGACTCAATGCCCCACAGCTGGATAATGGAATGCCTAGAATTGTACAAGATCAATGGGACCCTAAGAGCCTTCATCAGGAACTCAATGGGGATGTGGCGTACAACACTAGAGGCCAACTCCAAGCCCATAGCACAAGTCACCATCAAGTGCGGGATCTACCAAGGAGATGCTCTGTCCCCACTGCTGTTCTGCATAGGCCTGAATCCCCTCAGTGAGATCATTAACAAGACTGGCTACGGATACCGACTACGGAACGGAGCAGTTGTCAGCCACCTCCTGTACATGGATGACATCAAGCTGTATGCCAAGAGTGAACGAGACATCGATTCACTGATCCACACTACCAGGCTATACAGCAATGACATTGGAATGTCGTTCGGACTGGAGAAGTGTAGTCGGATGGTATCAAAGAGAGGGAAGGTAGTCAGAACTGAGGGGATTGAACTACCAGAAGGCAACATTGCAGACATAGAGGACAGTTACAAGTACCTGGGGATCCCACAGGCGAATGGGAACCATGAAGAGGCCGCTAGAAAAGCTGCAACCACCAAGTACCTGCAGAGGGTCAGGCAAGTCCCGAGGAGTCAGCTGAATGGTAAGAACAAGATCCAAGCCATCAACACGTACGCCCTGCCCGTGATCAGGTACCCTGCTGGGGTAATAGGCTGGCCAAAGGAGGAGATAGAAGCCGCTGACATCAAGACAAGAAAGCACCTTACCATGCATGGAGGGTTTCACCCCAAGTCCAGCACCCTGAGGCTGTACGCTAAGCGGAAGGAAGGGGGCCGGGGACTGGTGAGTGTCAGCACCACAGTCCAAGATGAGACAAGGAACATCCAAGAATACATTGGGAAGATGGCCCCAACTGACCGAGTGCTCAGTGAATACCTCAGGCAGCAGAAACCCAAGAAAGAGGAGGGAGACGAGGAACCATCATGGAAGGACAGGCCCCTGCACGGTATGTACCACCGGCAGATAGAGGAGGTGGCTGATATCCAGAAATCCTACCAGTGGCTGGACAAAGCTGGACTGAAAGACAGCACAGAGGCACTAATCATGGCAGCACAAGAACAAGCTCTGAGCACAAGATCCATAGAGGCTGGGGTCTATCACACCAGGCAAGACCCCAGGTGCAGGCTGTGTAAAGATGCCCCAGAGACAATCCAGCACATAACAGTAGGGTGCAAGATGCTAGCAGGCAAGGCATACATGGAACGCCATAACCAAGTGGCCGGCATAGTGTACAGGAACATCTGTGCCGAGTATAACCTGGAAGTCCCGGGGTCAAAATGGGAGATGCCCCCAAGGGTGGTGGAGAATGACCGAGCTAAGATCCTGTGGGACTTCCAGATACAGACGGACAAAATGGTGGTGGCTAACCAACCGGACATAGTGGTGGTAGACAAACAGAAGAAGGCGGCCGTAGTGATCGATGTAGCGGTTCCGAATGACAGCAATATCAGGAAGAAGGAACATGAGAAGCTGGAGAAATACCAAGGGCTCAGAGTAGAGCTCGAGAGGATGTGGAGGGTGAAGGTAACGGTGGTCCCCGTGGTAATCGGAGCACTAGGTGCGGTGACTCCCAAGCTAGGCGAGTGGCTCCAGCAGATCCCGGGAACAACATCGGAAATCTCTGTCCAGAAGAGTGCAGTCCTGGGAACAGCTAAGATACTGCGCAGGACCCTCAAGCTCCCAGGCCTCTGGTAGAGGACCCGAGCTTGAAGGATAAACCGCCCGCAGGGGCGTGCTGGGTGTTTTTTTTTATATATATATATATATATATAAAAAAAAAAAAAAGGAACATTTTACAACTTCAACCTAAAGCGCTCCATCTATGCAAGATAGCATGGGTGCTGTGTATATATATATATATATATATATATATATATATATATATTGTATTGTATGGAAGAGATAACAGCTGAACTTGAACTTGGGCTTGGCTGCACTGTAGTGTAATACCACATTGTACCACTAGATGGTGTAGTAATCAGCAAAACCTTCATTTGGCCTGGGAAGTCAAATCTTAAACATTTCAACACTTTCACCTCCAACTCACCAGATGCAGCTCCGGCGCAGGAGGCGAGCAGCATCATTAGCGGCCGCAGAACCGGTTTATGGTGAAGCAGAGGCTGTTTGGCCTGAGACAAAAGCATCTGGTACATCCTGAGTTGCTCTAGCTTCATGTCCTCAGTGAACTGCCTCCTCAGACTCCACAGAAACAGCCTCTCCATCACACCCTCAAGGACCACAAACTCCAGGATCGGACCCATCGCTCCCCCTGGTACCGGTGCACAAACACTCCTGAGTCCCAGTATACTACTGCATTTGTTGCACAGTGAGGGATGATTTCTTTAATCCTACCTTGGCCCGCCTCTTCCTCCATCAGTAGAAAGAGCATGTGCTCCACGTAGTTCTGGACGGCGCTGGCCTCGTCGGCTGGGATGGGGCCTAGACGTAGCGCTCCGGAGCTGCTGCTGCCGCCGCTGCTACCATAACCTGTGAGGAAACTCAGCGCGTTGGTGCCGCTGCGACTCGGCTCGTGTTTCTCCAGGATCTTCACCACCTGAAAAACAACAGAAACACAAGGATGTAAAAGACAATGCGTTTCCAGCCATCTTTATACGACAAGCAAAACAAACACCTGAAATGAGAGTGATTAGAGGAAATTACTCAGTAGATACTCACACCTGTTTTATCAAAGCGTATTCAGATTTTTTTAAAGTACATTTTTAAAGAATGTATTTAAAACTCTGCATGGAAAAGTTAAAAACTAAACTAACTAAACCAAAGCTTTATCCTGGTACAAACACAAACATAACAGCTGGAGACAGATTTATTAAATGAAATATGGCATAAATGATGTCACTTAATAATCTCTCAAGCGTCCAGGTTAGAAACGTCACTGGGGCAAAATGCTGTTTAAATTAATGCATGAAGAAAACAGAAACACATTATTTATATCATGTTTTTATTTTGGCTTCCTTTAGTTTCTAATGGTACCAAACTGGATCATTACTGCCATCACCTCTTTACCTCAATGCATTAGAAATAATATTTATATGCAGCTGTCTTGGACCCTTCTCAGCTGAATGTTAAAGGATTACAGTTGTAATTCCTCTAATGACCACTAGGCACCACAAAAACTTATGGAGTGGCAATGTCAATGTTCTATTTGAGGAGTAATTTTGTAATTCTGAGCAATTTTGACCTGTGTATATTTGATTTCCCTAGAGTTCGTGGACAAATTTGAGCTTACCTCGATCAGCCTTTGGAAAAAGGGTGTTTTGTTTATTTACTCTAGTCTGAATCAGTTAATGAGTTTATTTCCTGTACTTTTGCTTTTTGTAACACAGAGAAATTCCAAGCAAACCAAAATGTGTTGCTACAAACCACACAAGACCGTTCAGTCCATATATTGGCAGAATGTGTCTGTGCCGGGAGCAAAGAAAAGAAATACAGGCAGAGGGTGCTGCATTGCAGACTAATGGATAACATGGATAAGTTACTCCCAAAATCATCGTATTTAATTTCTTCGTAATTTCTGAAACTGAAACTCAGCTGAAATCTGCTGAGTACGATGTGCAGACTGAGGTGGGATCACATTGTCATCATAAATAAACCGCTTGGGAGTTTGTTTGGAGACAGACCGAGACAACCTCCGCCAACGGATGTGAGTGTGATCATCTGTCCTCACCCAAGTGCGATGACTGTGTTGAAATGTCCACATATGAAACGCGCCAAGGAGGAAAATTAACTGGAGCTCACATAAAATGGACTAAACTTTTTTTTTAATTTGTCTAATAAAGAAAATAATTTTATTGCTGTAAAACATTTAAGATGCCACAACAGAGAGATAGCCGTGGGAGGGATGAAAAAGAGATGAATGAAACAAGAACGCAATTCACTCTCTGGACTTGTGTTAACCTTTGACATTGGCTGCTTCAGACAAGGACCGCATGCACACACTTGCAAACACACACAAAATACTTGTACACACACAGACGATGCAGAGTGTGTGGGAGTTTTCTTGGCAGCTGTGGAGAGTGATTTGTACTAAATGGATCCTGTGTTTAAGGGCCAGAGTCTGGCCAGTAATGCTGACACACATTCATAGACACACGCAGACAGTCACACAGTCATTGTAAGTGAAACTAGGCCAGGCCAGACAGAAGAGACAAAGAGCAGCTAAAAAAACATGTCAGTAGTGACTTTATCTGTGAAGCAAAGCACTGATTAACCAGTGAAGATGAAGATGATGCAGGAGTAAATAAAAAGATCACCTGTGCCCAGTGGTTCTTAAACACGATCATGCAGGTCTCTGGGTCCACACCTCTCAAAGTGAGGGACTTCTTCCGATGTCCCCCGATTACCACCGAGGCCATCATTTTGACTGACTGTCAGGGAGCTAAAGCATGATCCGGCTCAATGCGTGGAGGCTGTCTGATGGAAGGACTGAGGGTCATTACCTGGCTCCCTCTGCCTAGAATCAGTCTCTGGCACCGGGCTTGGTGGGCAGCTAGCCGCTAGCCTGCAGAATATGGAGAAGGACAGAGTGAAAAGTTTGTTAATTTCGTCTTTCGTCTCATGATAAAAATTTGTCTTTATATTACTGTTGTTGCTGGTGTTGTTAGCCCTCCTAATGACATACACAATTCCTAGTGTGGCTGCTCTTTTCAGATTACTTTGGGAGTCCCATCTTGACCACTTGCGCCTATGCGTTTGCTGGCTCTCCATCAGTGTTTACACACAGTATGTATTTACCATGAATATTAGTAATTACTTATAAATAATTATGTGTACTGTTTATTCTTCATGTGTCTGAAAGAAAAAAAAATCTGTCGGTATATCAGATTTTTTAAAATCACCAAATATTGGTATCAGTATCGGTCTTAAAAAATCTTACATCTGAAGAGCCAAAGCTGTTTCCATGTCATGTATTTATAATGAAACTCTACTTTGACAGTGTGACTATGAGGGACACGCTTAAGGTGCACACCCACTTTAGGATCAAGCTCCTGAGCTGATACACCAGCTTCAGGATTGGACTATGCAGTTTCTGTTTGGTTCTCCAAGTTCTGGCTAGAGAACCAGCTCACATGTGTGATGATCCTCAAACATCACTGAATGTTCCTCCATAATGTTCAGATGCCTCAGGATGCTAAACTAGAAGACAGCATTGGCAGCGTGATGCTCCGTCACAGTGCTTGGACACTGCAGACTGACTAAAAGCTCCTGTTTGGGCCCTGAGGCGCAGCAAATTTGTGACGAAATTGTGATTTGTCTGTGATGACACAGTAGAAGCTCCAGTGCAAGCAGTCATAAAAGGACTGCAATGTAAGAACAGCAGCTGCACTGGAAGGAGTTGCAGGTTTCCACTCTAACTGTTGCTGGAATTGTGATTCCTCCATTCCCGGCATGTGCACATGTAGCTGTGTAAAGTGTGGATTTCTCTATATGTTTTTTTAAACACATGGGCTGTACATGTGCAGGGTGCTGGAATAAACAAATACAGTGACCTATTGTCCACAGAATACAAATATTTTTAGCTTAGTTTTCTTCCCTCCAGGCAGCTGCCGAATTCTGTTCATTTCTCTACATTATGACAATCAACTCCCAGAGATTTGAGGCTGCAGGAAGGTAATCCACGTTTATTTTTAGCTGTGCTGGCTGCATAGCTCAAGTAAAGCCATTTCTGTTAATGTAACAGAAAATTGTGATGTCAAACTTTGAAGTTAACACAGAAACAGCACTGCTAGAAACCTATTTTCAACCTTTTACCCATCTGACTGATGATCTAATACCATTTGTTTTACATCCACTCGTGTGCTTTGTGATTCTTTATTGTCTAAGTCTTCATGTCTTACGTAAAGCACTGATTCTCTCCAACAAGAGGTCGCTGAGCAGAGAGGATTTTATTTTTCATGAGGAAATCCTCTTATTTTAATTGTGTATATATCTGACTTTCACAATCACAGAGCTATTTCCTTACTCTGTGTCAGTGTTTGTGTGTGCGTGTGTGTGTGTGTGCGTGTGTGTGTAAACTAGCAGCAACAGCAGGAAGTAAGGCTCTTCAGTGGAAACAAGCAAACAGGAAAAATGACAACGAGGCCCACCCTGGGCGTTCCGGGACATTCCGTGAATTCCCATGGAGGTCTCGAGGAAATCACCCGGCAGTATTCCTACCTTTGCACTGCTGCTGCTGCTGTGATGCCATGGATGAGCGAGCCTGCTGTCTGCACTCCTAATGGAGAAAGAAAGAAACGCACACAGTGACACAGAGCAGCACTAAATGTAACTCTTTACACTATCAGGGCCTGATTTATGTCCTGACAACATGAGGAAAACAAGTAAACACACACAGTTTATATCCCTAACCATCTGGGACTCTAATCTGTGTGTGTGTGTGTGTGTGTGTGTGTGTGTGTGTGCGTTTCTTAATTTTTGTGTACCACTTTAAGTCTTTTGTGCCTTTGGAGTATCAACATTTTTCTTTTTGTGGAGACATTGATGCATTTAATAAGCATTTTGTGACACATTATTTTTTTCTTTGTGCCTTCAATGTGTGACACTGAAATAATCATTGTTTTTGTGCCACCCTAACATAAGTTATAGTCTTGGTTTGAGCCTGCCTATAAAAACCTACATTGCTCCATCAATAGCAGAAGGTAAAAACAATCAATAGCAGAAGGAGCCCATTTTCTTCCACTGCTTGTTTCAGTAATTTCTCCAACAGCCAGAGCTAAAATTAAATCAATAAAACTATATCAATTTATTTTACTTAGAATATTTTATGCAAAAATGCCAGCTACCAGCTGCTCAAATGGTCATATTTATACGTTTCTGCATTCTGTATTCATAAAATCTGTAGACTGTATAGAAATGATGGCTGTACCCACTGGTTTTGGACTTCACATTTTAAAGGACTTCAGTCTCTCCCACGTTGCTGTTGTCGAGCCAGAAGAGTCCATATGTCAAGAAATGTGTGTTGCTAAGTTACCAGCTAAACCAAGCAAGCTGTACACGGATAATTTTTAACATAATTACAATAAAATGCTCCAGTTGGCTCCATAATGTGTAATAAGCAAACCATCACTAGATAAGTTCAATGAGGGGGCATAAATCAAGAGTAAAGTGCACAAAGGTCCAGTTCACTGAGTTGAATTAGAGTAGATAGATGGAGGTACTGACCTATGACAGCTAACTTCTATTCAGTCACCTGTCAATCAAAGCAGCCACACCCCTAACTTTAACAGTATCCAGATGGATGAGATAAATGGAGAAAGAAAAACAGCCAGAGTGAATATGAAGGGGTAAATTAGCTTGAAGCTATAAATTTGAGCGTTTTATCGTGGGAGTCTCTGGGATTTGCTCACATTTGGAGCTTTGAGTGGTCATTAGAAGAAATGCAGTTTTTGATACTTAATTTTTAAGCCCTGGAGTTTCCAGCTTGCTTTCAGACCCAATTTTATGAGTCAGGTTTAGTTTGGGGTATGCAAGGCCGAGTGCATGGCTTCATCATCTGTCCTCACAAAGACGGAAGAACAAATGTGTGTGTGTGTGACTGAGAGCACGACAGAAAAAAAGAGGTAATCTCAGATGAGACGGCGCTGTTTAATCCCAGCCCGGCTCTTTCTGTGTGTGTCAGACGGTCACATGCCATCACACAAACCAGGGATTAAACACACACACAAGCAGACTGACCTGAAGTCTTTTCTGACCTGGTTTTTAAAATCATTTCAGGCATTTAGCTGATTGAGATTTAATTTAATCGTGCAAATAACACACCTCGCTGTGTTGTTTAACGGGCTGAGTTCAGTTGTTGCATTGAGGTGTTTGCAGTCCTCTTACAAACAGGTAAAAGACTGAGTCATTTTGAAGAGCTCACTGAATTCAAGTGTGGTGCTGTGACAGGAGCCCACTGTTAGAAAAGTCTGTGAAATTTCACAACAGTTTGTGAAGCTGCTTCCTTCTTAGATAGCCCACAATCAGCTGTAAGTGACATTACTGCAAAGTGGAAGCATTCAGAAATCAAAGCAACATACTCATAAAGTGGCAGACCATGCAAAGTTACAGACCGGATTCACAGAGTATATAAAAGTTGTCAAAGCTCTGCTGACTCAGTAACTGCAGATCTCCAAACCTCTGGCATCAACATCAAAACAAACAAAAACCGCATGTTAGGAGCTTCATAGCTGAGCAGCTGTAGGTGTAAAGGTCCAGTATTTTTCTCTACATAGTGTAAATGAGGCCCAGAAACAAGTTTTTTCTTCTGTATTTCCAATGAATTCATGTTTTATTTATAAAGCTTGCAATTGCCAAACTTCATTAGAAGGTGGGCTCTTATGCCATGCCTTATTTCTTATCTGCTGTTATAGGAGTGAATGTTCATATTCCATGGCCAGGTTGGCCTCTAGCTAAAAGCTAGTTAATCACTCAAACTCAGCAAGGATCACTGACCAGCAGTTGTGAGCACTGCAGACACACCTGTTTACCTGCATTGTAAAGGAGCGGGGCCTCACGTGTGTTTGGTGAGGTTACATTATTTAAAGTAGGCCTGAGAGAAGTCACAGGATGGGGAGCCTTTTGGAGCACAATGAGCTGTCCTCTGTTTGTTTAGGATTTACAACGAGCTTCAAGGATACCCTGGCTGCTTTTTCACAGAACACACTGTGTGCCTCCTATCCTAGCTATCCTAGCTATCCCTGCCCCCACAGGGATAGCTCAGTAGGTAGAGTGGTGGCCCCATGATCGGAAGGTCGGGGGTTCGATTCCCCTGAACAGCTACCCTGAGGTACCCCTGAGCAAGGTACCGTCCCCACACACTGCTCCCCGGGCGCCCAGTGGCTGCCCACTGCTTCACTGAGTGAATGGGTTAAATGCAGAGAGGGATTTTCCCCACGGGGACCAATAAAGTACACCTTCTTATCTGGAGGGTAGATGCAAGACCAGATATATGAAATTATGTGTGAGATTAGAGCTTCAGAACTCAGGATACCTTCTGCAACACAAGTGGATATTTTTCCCTTCCCTCCAGAAGCAAGTTTCACCACTCTGTAGCAATCACAGCTTTACTTCTGTTTCTATTTCTACTCTACTACATCTTTGACACGAAATGTTTTACTGTGTAGTCCACACCATTTATTTTAAAGCTTTGCTTACTTATTGTTTTGCAGATTAAAAATATAATACATGTATAAACATACACCCATATAAACTGAAACTACAGATCAAAGTGACGTCAAAGGAGGCTAGTGGCCTTTCCTTCCTCCCCTTAGACATGGAACATTTTAAAACTGCCAGGAAGACCACAGATGCCATGACTCAGATGTTTCTCTTGCATTGTCCCTGTTAAGATGAAACCTAATAACAGAATCCATTAGTTGGGTGTTGATAAATTAGCTTCCTTTTTGAGTTTTTGATGCTACTCTGCCTCTGGTTTCTTCACACAATACTAGAAATCAATCATTTATAAATCTATTTATATATTCTGCTCTGTTGTTGCAAACAAAACAGCATGTATAAAAGTTAGTAAAATCACCCCCAGCGGCAACATTAACGTTAAACACCAATTAATAAATCAATAATTAAATATATAATTATTATACAAATAGCACATGTATGATTCTGCTTAATAACTGCATTTACTTTTGATAGTTTAAGAATCTTTAGTGCTAACAGTTATTCAATAAAAATGGTTTCAGGCTGTCTTTCAGTGTCAGGACTCATTTCATCCTTCTGTATGAGGCCACAGCTCCTGGATATCAGTGTTTTCTACACCAGTTCTTACTTAGACATAAAAAAACAGTTAAAAATAAAAATAAATAAATACATCCAGGGCACACAGAGCATTAAAAATGCATTTTATATTTAAGAGACGATTTCCTTCCCAATAAATGCTTGTTTCCTTAAAATAAAATCATTTTTTAAATTCTTTAAATTCATTAAAATAGTTTTTAAGCAAAAATCCATTCTATGAATGCAGGTTTATTAAGTTTTATTAAGCCAGGTTTGACCAACTTTGCGCTCCTTTAACTATTATATTTTGTCTATCCAGAGTCTTGTAACAGTAAACCCTCCTCTTGGTTTACATTACACTGCAGCATGAAAACACTGAGAATCCCAACATTTTCTGCACTTTTCGTCGGTTAACCTGAACCAGGCGTTTCTTACCTCGGCTGCCTCTCTAACTGTTGCTTGTTATTCCCAAAGTGAGAAGAAAAGCGGTTAAAACGCGTTTAACTGTCCAGAAACGTGTGTAAATCCTTAGGTTTGCAGTTTTACAGCGGCCCGGCTGTGCCGCTTCTGAGCGCTGCGGAGTTTCTGAGGCTTTAAGCGGCTCAGCTGTCAATCACTTAGCTGCTGGGCGCTAGGTAGCACTTAACCACGCCCATAAATGTTGTAAGACCACGCCCCCGGCAGAGAACCAGAGCGCGAGAGAGACGGTTTTATACAGTACATATAACATGTTTGAAGGGTTATTTTCATACATGTGTGTCTGTGCAGCTTTTCTCTTTCTGTTTATCATTCTGTGAACTACAAGGCAATTACTTTAAGGTTATTTAATATATGACATTAATCACCATTTTCACTGTTATTTCTTTAAGAAATCCTGATTAATCAGGTCATTTTTTTCTTCGTAAAAATGCAGAACTTACTATTTAGAGGCAAAAAAAACAAAAAACATTAGAAATGTATTACACAGTGATGGGTTCACAGGGTGTCTGCTACAACAACCTAAAATGCTAAATGACATGAATAATACATAAAGAATAAAGTAAGCAAGTGTTAACAACCCTGAAAGGCTTCATTTTATCTAATTATTAAGAAAGTGGCCATTAGCTAAATAATTAAAAACAAACAATAACAAAACAACTTAAATAAAACAAAATAGTTCAATAAAATAACACAGATTAAATATTACAAAAATTAAATAGTTAAATAAGGTGAGGAAATTAGAAAAAGGAAAATGTGAAATAAATTAAAGGAGCTCAATATGTGAAAGTCTAAATCAATTGATAAATAAATTGTTATTAAAATAATTATTTCAGTGATTGATTCATAATTATTATTAAAAGTAGTCTTGTGCTCTTGTTTGTTTGCTTGTATTAATCTGGATCTTGGGTGAGTGACAAATGGATTCATCATTTTGTATACGAGCTTTAGAATTTTATATTAAATGTTAATTTTTACACCTTTGATATATTCATAGCAAAGTAGAAAAGTTCAATGAGTTGATGCAAATCGCTAAAATCTTGACACTAACTTTATCTGTATTTAATTTGTACTCTTTCGATAAAACAAATAATTAATGTTCTAAATACGTTTTTCCCAACCATTTGGAGCCACAGCACATCACCAAACAAAAATGTCACAAAATACATATTGATAGTTGTTCCCTGCACCAGGCAGTGTGGAATTGGCTCAGTTTATCCCCAGTATAGCTTTTTTGCTTTTTTCTGACCACTCATCATGCTAGGGCCTTCATCTAGGTTGGAATTTTTCCAGGTCCCAGGTCAGACAGATTACTTTTTCACCTCAAATGTTTATCTATTGCTATTACAAGCTGCTATCTCACACACAGTATGTCTATTGTGTAATTTCTTTTCCGTCTTCCTCTGTTTTACTGGCAGTTGGCAACCAATTTAATTAGAGCAGGTAATTGTACCGCCCTCTAGTGGAAGAGAATGTAATTGTTCTGCCTGTTACTCACACCGGTCACATAGTGTACCAATCAGGTGGAACAAGATAATCTTCCACGGCACTCTGGTCATTTCTCACAGCACACCTATGTGCCGCAGCACAGTGGTTGGGAAACACTGTTCGAGACAGATATTTATATAAGCTGGGATGTCTTCTTGTTAAATTGTTAAAGTGGAATTATAAATATTCCAATTTAATACTGAAAGTATTAAATAAAGTCAAAATAGTCCACCTGCTTTTTTCCTCAAATGGAAATAATGTGAACACAAAATGTTCAACGACACACACTCACACAAACACACACAGTGTATTCCCGTCTCACCCATGTGATTCCTTTAATCAAGCTTTGTTAATCACCGTGCAACAACAGTTTAACACTGAGTGTTTGAGGACAGCAGGAAATTGTTAATCTGAGCTGTTAAATCAATGCACACACAGGTCATCTGGATCCAAACCAGCCTACCAACCTCCTCCACATCAGCTACTTTGCAGTGGCCTCATTTAAAATAAATAAATAAGACGGTAAAAGGTTTATTAAGTCAGAAAGCTTAATGAATGAATGTAGTAACCATGATGCCATTAACACCTCAAAAGTTATTTGACACCATAAAAGGAATATAATTATTTTATTTATTAATTTTCTTTTTTTCAGTCTCTTAAAGTGTGATCTTTCTTGACAGAGCGACAGGATAATGGAGGACTAAATCAACCTATACTTGTTGCATGTTTGCATTTTTTTTTTCTTTATGTAGGTTTTACTTTGTAAAAACATCACGTTTTTCTGTAGAAGAACTTGATGTTTATAGATTGTGTGTTTTTGTTGTTTCTCCGCTGATTTTTTTTTTCTTTAAGCTTCAACTTTGGTAAAGCCGTGCAAAAATTTTAATACTTAAGTTTTTATCCCAAAGTTTGGACACCAGTGTGTTCTTGGTTAACCATTCCTCTACATTTATCAGCAGTGCCCTCTTGTGGCAAACCATTGGAACTGCACTTGATTAATTATGGACTGACTGTGTATTATTCTTAATAATGATCAGCATTTTAATAAAGTAACTTGCTCAAGTGTTGCACAGTGTAATTGCTACAGAATCATCATTGTGATGATTTAAATTGTCATCTTTGAAAATCCGCCTCATTAAAATAAAGGCAGTCACCAGATCAATGGAGCTGAAAATAGAAAAGATATCTGAAAATCCCTCAACTCCAAAGCACAAAAGAGAACACATTAGCTTCACTGCTATTCTAGACACTGTTAATATCTGATTACATACTTCCTGTGTGTTCACCTGTGTTATTCTGACTCAGGCTCCTGATCTCTCCACTGTGTTAGTCATGTGAGAGTTTTTTAGCTGCGTGGTGCCAAGTTTCAGTTTACTTCACTTCACATTTACCGTGCAGAAAGAAGATTCTGTTTTGAGCAAAGCTCAGCGCACACAGGCACTTACAGTAAGAAGAACTTTCTGTAGTGCTCATTTACATATTTTATTCTAAAGCCGGCCTGCATGCTGTATATTTATGTATGTCACTTGTATACCTGCATACAAATGACCGCATTCTTCCAGAGGACAAATGTGGTCATTCACTGGTAGAAACTCTCAGAGAGCTGCAAATTCTTGATGAATCAAGCATACAATATATCGCTTTGTGTGTGTGTAACAAAAGTAACTTCAAGGTTATTTAATGTCACTTCATCATAAGCACTTTGAAGTAGAAGGGACAAGAAAACAGCCACATGCTGATACCTGGGGTTTTGTGCAATTACAATCCTACAGAACTGTAAATTTGTTTTAAGTTGCCTGAATTAACAAACATGTTGCAAACTCAATACCTCACAAATATGAAGTAAAGGTAACTGGAGTCTTGTGAGTAAAAAAAAATCAGCAGAAAGTTGTAGAGAGTTCAGAGTACTTGTTATTAGCTTAATCTGTTAAGAGGCAGATATTCAATTCACTTTTATGTATATTCTGCCAAATCATGACAAAATTCATTTCAAGGTGCTTAATATTGTAAGGTAAAGACCTTCCAACAATACAGAGATACCGCAACAACAAGAGGACCCCCTGTGAGCAAGAGCTATGGTGACAGCGGGAAAGAAAAACTCCCTTTTAAAATGAGGAAACCTCAGCCAGAACCAGGCTCATCGTGGTAATAACAAATCATTAAATGTAGAGTGGTGTATAAACACACGGTGAATGAAAAAGTGTATGTTATCCATTCAATAAGATTTAATTAACACCCCTGAAGCTTTGCACTACACGGCTCATTTAACAATACAATAGTCTCACTCATGGTCTATTAAAAGCCAGACCTTTACCCTGTTCCTGCCCACACGCACACTGGAAATCCATTACACATTTACAAGAATCAACGTATGACGTAACTGAATTAATGATGCAAACACTAATAAATTCAGGATTCATGTTAAACATTAACCATCCCACGAGTCTGTGCGGACATCAGGTGGAAATCAAGTAGGTAGGTGAATAATAGTAAGCAAACTTTCCCAGCCAGTATAACCAAAGTGCCAATTCAAATTCAGTCATGACTGTATTTAGAGTATGTAAGCTGTTATCAGCTAAATTCTTTAATATTGCTTCCTAAGCCTTTGTCGCAATTTTCCACATTTTTCCTGTCACTTTGTGGATCATGTTAAGTTGTTCAGCATCAAAATTTTGTAGTTTCACATTTGTGATTTGGGCTTCTTTCACGTTGTTGGACAGCACTTGGTGTTCTTTTGCTTCTCTTTCCTTTCTTTTGGTGTCTTTGCAGCTACTGTAAGTGGCAGCTTTGCATGTCTTAGTACTGATTTTACTTACTATTTTTGCAGATGATTGCATCACTGTAGCAGTGTTGCATTCTATGTAGTTATTTTACATCACTGTGGTCATTTTATATCTGTATATATTTATATATATATACATATATATATATGTTTATATATATATATATACAGATATATATGTATATATTTTATATCTGTGTATGTGTGTTTGTCGTTGAAGTCTTTTTTGTTCTGTCTGTGTTTTTGAGCATGTTTACATTTTCTGCACCTCTCGGAGCTCATTTTGCCCTTAACAGTGGTCATTCTGCCTCTCATTTTTGTGTTTCGCATTTCTTTATCCCACACTTTTGTCTGCATACTCTGTGCTGCATGTATGCCTTTTTTTAAAATATTATGATGCCTATGTCTATCTATGCCTATGGTTATGTGTTATGTAGTTTGTAAATTTGTAAATGTTTCAGAGGTATTTTGTTTCTGAGTTTTTGAAGAAGTTTTGGTTATTTAGTGTGTCTTTGTCCAACCTTTGTGCCTCTGATGAGGATTCAGAGCATTTGGTGTCACTTTGTGTGATTTAGTTTGTTTGTTTGTTTGTTTGTTTGTTTGAAGGCATTTTGAGGCATTCTGCATCTCTTTGTCAAACTTTTGTTTCTATTTTAAGACATTTTGGTTTATTTTATACTACTTTGCACCACTATTTGCGCCCCGTGGAAGATGTTTCAGATTGTTTTGTGTCACTTTGAATGATTTTTGTGCTTCTTTGTCCAAATTCTGGGTTTCTTTGCACATCTTTTTGCACGTGGGAGAACATTTTCTCCCACTTTTTGTGTCTGGGCGTTCAGGACATTTTGAGGCTTTTCTAGTTGTTTTGGGCCCCTTTGTTACTTTGCAGTTATATATTTGCCGTTTTGCGTGTTGGTATATTACAGTTTAGGTCAGGTGCACTTTAAAAAAAAAACAACTTTTCGCCACCCATGTTCATCCTCTTCTTCCGCCTCTTTACCTGGTTACTTCTCCCAGCACATACTGCCGCACACCATGACGTTAAGTTAACTAAACTAAACGTTTAATCCTCCATATTTATTTATTCTTCTTCTCCGCGTTTTTTTTCCTGTTGGTGACGTCACGGCGTCGGAGAGCGCCGAGCTCGCGACCAGGGAAAACAGGGAAGCTTGGAGAAAGTGTCATCTGAAACTCGCCGCAAAGATAGTTGTTGTCTGTATATTAAGACTTTACAGACTGCTTTTTCTCGCCTCGAAATCTTCCGAACACGCGGTGGAAGTGTTCAGCTAACCCTGGAAGTCATGTTGGGGCTTTAAGGTTGACGGTGTTTGAGCTTTCGCGGTGCAAGTTGGCGACGAAGCCAAAACAAGAGGAAGAATAAATAATGTGCCTGTCGCCGCCGCTGCTTCTGTTCTGACACGGCTCCAGTTTCCCACAGACACTCAGAAGAAGCAATTTGAAGGAGGAAGACAGAAAGTGAGAAAATAAGGTAGTAAAAGAAGAAGGAGAAATGGCCGAGGCACGCTCAGAAGAAGAGGAGGAAAGCGTGATGAGGGACACTCGGGAGCAAGTGGTCCGACGACAGCCCAACGCCTCCAGAGGTAAAGAAAGAGCCACAAACATCATCTTTATGCGTTTGCTTTAAACTGTTTCCACCTGATAGACATCCAGTTCATTAATACATAAGGAAGAAATAAGCTGTCACGAGTCTGGAAGGAAATGCAACCCCCAAGGTTTGATATTATATGACCACATTTCCACCGATAAAGCTCAAAGCAAACAAACTGTCAGGTTTATTCTCTGTTATTCTTTATTTTCACATTGTGGTAATGTTTCTGTTTCACTTTTGCTCTATTAAAAGGTATCTTAACATACTGTTTAGCAGCTCTGGGATCCCAGACCCCCCTCCCTTCCTCGTCTGTGAATGTTTAGCATCCCCGCAAAATCTATCACAGCACTGATAAAACGGCACCTTGACATGCATATAATGTGCAGTGTAGGCTCAAAATGCCGCTCACCTAGGGGTTTAAGAGGCAAAATATGAAGCCTGGATCCAGTGTGGACAGTGTTTATGATACTTGGTGTACATTTCAGGTCTAAAACCTTTAAATAAGAGACGTTTTATGAAGCGCGTTAATGTTTAGAACTGATTATCTGATTAAAAATTAGTTGGCAACGTTTTTTGATTGTTATTTTTAAAGCATGAACGCAAAAATGTGTGTATATTTCCTAGCTTTCTTTTATCTTTCTAATCTCAGACCAAGCAGGCAGTTTAGATTTGGCAGCTCTTGAGTGCTTTGTCATTTTTTCCTCAAATCACAAACACATTTCTGATAAGGTTTGTTTAGAAAGCCGTGATGTAGATGAGTGTGTGTCGCCTGGTTGAACTCAGGGTTGTAAATTCTTATATCATGATGTGAACTTGCCAACACTGGGGTCAAAGTTTGTGTATGCCTGTGCCAGGACTTACAACCATTAGTTGAATGACCAAGTCTTCCTCTTTGTCTCTCTCTCGGGGAAGTTAAATTATAACTTGTCCTGCCTCTTCTAGGCTTTTCTCAGTTAGTGCGTGAGTAAAGTGAGTCTGTAATTCTTCAGAAACTCTTCAGATGATGCATTCGCTTCTGCCCTGTGGTTAGGGCGGGTACATTTTTGGAGAAATTACCACCGCGTCTTGACATGATTAACTGACACAATGCCACCTGTGTGTCTTTTTCTGGTTGTTATGTAAAGTTTCTAAGTCATCCTGGGAGTAATGTCAGGCTTAAAGATTAGGCTGCATGAGATTAGATTTAATCCTGGGTGATATTTTTGTGGTGGCTAGAGAGGAATACTGGTGCTTTTATGATTTCATTTGCTAAACATGGAGCTGTAAGTGGTAATTATATTTATTACACAGTTGTTTTGACTTTGCAATACCAAATACTCACTAACGTGACAAATGATGGTTATTCATAGTACATGGGTAGAAAATTGTATGTTTCCTAACTGTCCTGTGGCAAGGAAGTGGCTGTGTACAGAAGGCCTACATTAAAAAAAAATATATATATATATATATATAGCATACCTTTTTTTTTTAAGACAGGAAACCAAAACAACTTTTACAGGCTGTACTTTGAGGAAGTGTTGGCACAATGTGACTGTAATCTGTGACCAAAACAAAACAAGACTGTTCATTTAAATGTGAGATCATTGCATCTTTTGCCCTAATTTAGCAAACATTCCTCATCAGCAGCCTTATTCTGCATCATACATCAGAGATGATGGAAAAGGTAGATGGGGTGACCATAACATCGGTGGTCTTGGACTTTGGATTTCGAAAAAGACAAGCTGCGAATGGTCAATACACGGGCACATGTGCACTACATTGACCAAAGAACTGGGCCACATAGACATTACCCCACATAGCAGACAGATCTGGCCTGGATCTGGTGTCATGCTGGCATTGCTGGCTGACTTCTGGCATGGTAAGTGGTCATCCAGATATGGGCCAGGCCTGGCGCAGATGGCACAGTTTATGCGATGGCATGCCACATCTGGCCCAATTATGGTTTAGTTTATGTGGCCCAGGCTCACAAAAAGCAGGTCTTCATTTTTTGTGGTTCAATCTAGGGCTGTTCGATATAACGATATATATTGGATGACAATATAAAAACGTCTATCGTTTCATATTACGCTATCGTTTGTTTCGTGTTTACACCAATTTTTTTTCATCGTTTTGATGGTCACTAGTGGCTATATTAATTTGTTAAAGTTATCTCTTTCTCTTATATTTAATATCACGACACTACGGACGGACAAGTGACTGTTTTTACGTGTTGTCGTTAGCAACCACGATGATAAAACAATGGCATGGCTTTGCCATCCGCTTGTTTGTTTTGCATGTTAACCTTTCACAATAAAGCTCAAGATCCTGTTGAGACTTTTCAAAATAAACTAAATCCCATGAAAGAGCATGCAGGATTTTTACGGATGAGAAGCAAAAAAGAGGCGTTAGGTGCTAAAAAATAAACCTTAGACTCAAACGTTAGAACAGGCTTTTCCCCGCAGCACGCCGTGTAATAAATATTCACAAAGAAAGCGGTGGCCATTACAATTTATGTTTAAAAATGTATAACTTCATGCATCGGTTAAAAGTCTCAACTCCAGGTACACAACGCCCAGCTGAAAACACTTCCTGCAAGTCGAGCTGCCCGAGATTCACAGAATTTACAGAAAATGTTAAATTTTTGTGATTTATATCGTTATCGGGATGATGGATGTCTTATATCGGGGTATGAGATTATGGTCATATCGCACAGCCCTAGTTCAATCCCTGGCTCCTCCAGTCTGCATGTCAAGAGTGTGAATAGGTAGCACTCATGTAGGAAGCACTCAGTTTAGAGAAAGTGTGTGATTGGGTGAATGTGGCATGTTGTAAAGAGCACTTTGAGTAAACCGGGAGGGTTGAAAAGCGCTATATAAGAATCAGTCCATTCACTGTCCGAACAGAGTTTCGTCATGTTACTTTTGCACTATTATGTTCTGGCACATGTTGTTATTACATGGCTTGATTAAGGTCCACATTAGGCTGACATCTGGGGTCAGAGCTGAAACTGTTCTGGGCCAGCAAAGGACCACCAGTGTGTCTGCAACTAGCCTTGTGCTGGCCCATGTGTGGGCCACTTCTGGCAAACCTGATCTGGGCCACCAAAGGGCCATCATTCTTTGCAGTATGTGGGCGAGATCCGTGAAATACCAATTTTGCTATGTGGGACACCTACAGGAGCTGCTTGGACATTGAAACCCTATAGCATGAAGCTCCTAGTGCACCGTGTGTGTGCTCATGTTGATGTCAAAGGAAGACTGGAGTACCACATTTACTCAGTCAGCAGTGTGCTGATGACCTTTACACAGTCGGTGACACGCCCTGTAACTTTATCTGATCTGCCACTTCATGGTCGAGTTGCTGTGGTTCCTAAAGACTTCCAGTTTGCAATAACACGACTTACAGTTGATGATGGAAGATCTAGAAAGCAACTGGCTTATTCCGACAGCGGCGTCAATGACAGCACCGGTCAGAAATTCATTGAACTCTTTACAGCGACCCATCCTTTTCATGTTTGTAAAGGCACACTGCGTGATTTATTTATTTAATTAATTTTGTTTTTTTGTGGAAGTTTGAAAACTCTTGAATTCAAATAGTGTGGCAGAATAATTTTGTCCATATTTGGCGCAAAAGTCTTGAACCATCCTCATTTCTTTATATTTTGCTAGAAAAATGGGAAATGGATTCAGAAGTTTATTGACATGTAGAAACGAATATGAAAATGCAGCATACAAGGCAAAAACAGAGTTTGTACAATTCTTGAAAGCCAGCATTTAAGGTGACCACCTTTATTCTTCAACACAGTCTCTTAGGCAACCTTTATTGTCATTTCTTTAAGTAGTCTTCAGGAATAGTTCTCCAGGCTTCATGAAGGGCAGAGCTCTTCTTTGTTGGCTACCTTTTGTTCCATTCTCTGGCAACGTGATGGGAAATGCATTGTTCTATAGAGCGTTTCTACTCTCCCAGAGTACTCAAACCACTCTATATAACATGCCACATTCAAAGACCAAATAAATTCACCCAGTCACTTTTTTCTAAGCCTTTAGTGCAGGGGTAGGCAACTCCAGGCTTCGAGTGCCGGTGTCCTGCAGGTTTTAGATGTCCTTGATCAAACACAGCTGATTCAAATGGCTAAATTACCTCCTCAACATGTCTTGAAGTTCTCCAGGGGGCTGGTAATGAACTAATCATTTGATTCAGGTGTGTTGACCCAGGGTGAGATCTAAAACCTGCAGGACACCGGCACTCGAGGCCTGGCGTTGCCTACCCCTACTTTAGTGGTTCTTAACTAACATTCATGCACAACTTGGATTTAGTATCTTGCCGAAGGATACTTGGCATGCAGACTGGAGGAGTCAGGAATCGAACCACTCTCCTTCTGATCAGTAGTTAAAGTGCTCTACCTCCTGAGCTACAGCCACACTGCATCCAATATGATTAATAATGTTGAACTTAACACCCTAGGGAGGCCAAACCACGACTGAGGTATGCTTTTCCTGTTTCTTAAGGAGATGACTGTCAGGTACTGTTCATCTGCTCTGGAGTTTTTTTTTGTTTGTTTTTTAGGCCTGCTACTAACTCTTCGATTTCTGTTCATGGTGTTTAGGGAAGAGGAAACAGAGAAAATGGGAAGTTAGGATTACTTTTATTTCTTTGAACAAATTCTGAATTTGAATATACAAATATCTGAAGGCAAGGGATGGGATTTTTGTGTAGGAAGCTTCTGGTTTGTGTTTGTATCAGCCAAACATGTTTGAGCTGGAGTCTAAAATGGAGGTGGAGTCTAACTGTGAGATAAGATCCTGTCAGAGGAAGGAGGTGAATGATATCGAGCAGCATCACAAGTGCAGCCCGGCCATGGAGCCATCGGGCAGCGTGACATGAACAGGCTGGGACTAGCTTTCAAATTAATAAAGGTTCATATCCAAAGGTGAATTTTTGCTCCGTACTGAACTACAACAGAACACATCCACAATTCCCAGACAACTCATCACCTATAGAAGCTAATATAGCCTTAAACCACAAAATACATATATCAGGGAGTGTGTGAGAGTCTGAGTTGGTTGTTGTTGTTGTTGTGCAATGAAACCCAACCATTTGATGAGCTGAGCTCACTTGGTTTTCATTAAATGTGTTTCAGATACTTTTTTTCTAACTTGAGAAATTGAATAGCAGAATATTTTGCAACATGAAGACATTGTTTATTAAAAATTGTAAACCATATGGAGACATTAAGTTACAGTCAGAACAACAAATACAGTGTGTGCGTCTGTTTGTGCAGCATTCCTGGACTGTGGTTTATTGTCTCTCTGTGGGTTTAAAAACAGTCTGTTAATAATTTTTCTGGCATCTGAGGTTAGGGATCGTGTTCAGCCTTTTCTTAGCTTCGGGACGTGCAGCTTAATGAAGAACCTTATTTTACCAGCACTGTTTAGTGTTATTATACATTAGATGAGAAGCTAAAGTGAACAGCGAACATTTAAAAAAAGAATACCTTTGAAAGTAGTTGACCTTTTGCAAAAAAGGAAAAAAAAAAAATCTGAGCTGCATATTTTTAAAGGCTTTATTGAGCAGTCACATGTTTTTCCACACAGGCTCATCTGTGAGAGTGACAGGTGATAAATGCCTCATGTGAGTGCCACAGTTTTCAAGGATAAACATTCCCTCTGGAAGACTTTAAACTGGCATTGTAACTGAATTTTCAGCCACTTGGCAATGCCTTTTGGCAGTTATTTGGGCAGAAGCCTCCCTGTTCTAAATGAATGGGAAGAAGGCTTTAATTCCACTTGTCTCCTGGAAAAAAAAGTGCTTAAATAAAATCAAAGATCAAATTAGATTTTAAAAAATGCTTTAAACTTCCGTGATGTAAATGAGCTTAATACATTTAGTGCTTCATGTCCACTTTAATGGAGTGTTGATTTCTTTCCTCCTACTATCTAAGGAAGCTTCATTGGGGGGGGGGAAACTGTCCAAATCCCCTTTTCCTCACTAACCTCTGACCTCCTCGTGGCACACAAGAAAGCCAGTGGATGACGAACGCTGAGTGAAATCTGCTGCGGTGTGCATCTTGCGTGTTTGAATGCAGCTCCAGCAGAAAGCTAAGCCAGCCTGCTGCGCAGGACAAACATCTGGAAGTATTAAAACTCCGATGACTCCAGCAGAATCCGTCTGCAGCCAATTGCAGCCTCACTTCCTGGAGGTCCTCTGCCAATCAGGAACCTAGCCAGAGCTGATGGGCTGTCCAGTTAGAGTTTTTCAGGGACAGAAAGTAGAGGAAAAGAAGAAAAAGCACTGAAGGGAGAAGAGAGAAATTTTTTTTGAGTTTTTGAAAAGAAGAACTATCTGCAGCAAGTTCTGCACACACGTCAGCATCTAGTTTTTCTGGACTTAAGCAGGTCATACTGATCTGGTTATCAGTTTGGGTTGGGAAGGAAGAAGAAAAAGGAGGTAGGAAATGGAAAAATACACATTCACAGAAAGTGCAGCTCTGCTTTTTCTTGGCTTTTCTCCTCCTTTCTCTTTTTTCTTGCTTTCTTCATCTTGTTGAAGGCATTATAGGAGGTGGTTCACATTTTTAAAAATTCAAATGCTCCCTTAACTTTTTTTCTGTGGTGATCACATGACTTATCAGGATGATTGTGACATCCTCTTCCTTTTGTCTTCACTTAGTTTCTGTAGGTGGCACTATTTTTCGTCTGCACTAAACCAGGATTAATCAATCTTTATTCTTCTATTTTCAAACCAAGATAAAAACAGTTTTGTCTTTTCAGCCTAAAACTTTGGAATGCAAAACGACGTTATTGAGGTTGAAGTTAAAATTTTGTTTCTCATTTCAATGTAGGACACATTAAATTACAATCAGAGGAACTTTTAGTACTTTTAATAATGACTTTTGGTCAATGTAAACACTTTGTTTTCACATTCAACAAGCTGCCCAAAGCATTCCTCAGAGTTTGGTCCATCTTGACATGTTGGTATCACATAGTTGCTGCAGATTTATAAGCTGCACGTCCATGATGTGAATCTCCTGCTTCTACCACATCTCAAAGGTCCTCTATTGAATAGGAGATCTGGTGACTGTGGAGCTCATTTTAGTATAGTGAAGATATTTTCACTTTCAATTTGGCAGTTTGAGATAATTTATGGTTTGTGACATGGTGTGTTCTACATGTCATCAGAAGATGGGTTCACTGCGGCCATGAAGGGATGGACATAGCCGGCAACAATACTCAAGTAGGCTGTGGTGTTTCAATGATGATCAGCTGGTAGTAAGAGGCCCGTTCTCTGTAATCCCTGGTGTAAAGGTTGTGTGGGAAAATCAATATAAAATATTCAGACAAGCACATCAGGCACCAACAACCAAGCCACCTTCAGGATCACTTAATTCACCTTCAATGCCTATTCTGATGTTCAGGTTGAACTTCAGCAGGTTATGTTCACCACGTCTTCATGCGTAAATGCACTGAGGTGCTGCCATGTGCTTATCTAATTAGATGTTTATATTAATGAACATTTAAACAAGTGTAGCCAATAAATTGAACGGTCGGTGTAAATTACGTCATATGATCCACAAGAAAACCAGAATAAGTTATATAAGTTATTTTTACTAAGCAATAACTGAGCTGGTCTAAAGCCTTTTCAGCTCTTTGCCCACATGAACTGCTGAGTTCTGTAGACTAAACAGTGCCTGTTGGTTTACAATCACTCTTTCTCTCCCCAGGTCGTCCTGACAGACATAAGCCAGAGCATCGTCACAGGTAGGAGGTTTCACATTTCACTGTCTCTGCTGGCAGTATTTGCAAAAATGACTAAGTGCTTTGAAGAAGGGTGCATCTAATCTCTCCCACATGTAACAGACAGTTTGCCCTGGAGAGGTGCGTTTGAAGTTGAATCCAGGTAAAAGGTCTGATTGCTTTGATCTGACCCTCTAAAAGGATTTACCTTACAGTACGAATCAGGCGTCTTTGGGTTAAAGGCGCAGCTTTGGAGGATTTTCTTCAGTATCCTTGCAGACTTCCAGGGAATGCTTTTCTCCCCTCTCGTCTGTGGTCCTGACACACTCCTGAAAGTATTTTGGCTGTTGGCCGGTGGCCATGGCAACTAGCTGGGGAAGTCACCGGGTTTAAAAAGTGTGTGTGTGTGTGTGTGTGTGTGTGTGTGTGTGTGTGTGTGTGTGTGTGTGTGTGTGTGTGTGTGTGTGTGTGTGTGTGTGTGTGTGTGTGTGTGTGTGTGTGTGTGTGTGTGTGTGTGTGTGTGTGTGTGTGTGGAACAAAGTGTTGCTTTTGTCGAGCTTGTATCACTTAAAAGACGTCAAACAAAGAATCCAAAGTGATTGTGAGAGGATCCAAATGCACAAATATATGGCAGGTTAAGTTTATTACTGAATACAGAAGTGAGTGGAAAGTCAAAGAATCTCCATTAAGTGACTTTTGAGACTTTATTTTGTGTATTGACCGACTGATGTTTGGCCAAGTCTCCTCACCTGAAGCAGAACATTTTTTTAAAGACTGATTCTGTTTTTCAAACTTTCATTGAATAAAAACTTAAAACCAAAGAAGTGCCAAAAACGGTAGTTTCTCTAAATGTCACCTTAGACACAGGTTATGGGATGCTCATGGGATACAGTAGTGACTTGTTACACTACATGTAGCCTCGAGGTTTATTGTCCTACTGGACACTAAGAGGGCCATAATTTACAAAATAAACATTATATTAATATCAGTGAAAGTTGGAACTAGTGATTGAGGCCATAAGATCACCAGGAAGGACCATCTGTCATGCCGAGGACTTATATTATTACAGAGGCGCAGGTTGCTTTTATAACATCAGAAGATCACCTTTAGTGACCTCCCACCTCTAGACGCTCAAGATGCTTAAAACATTTGCAAAGCCCCCTTGGACGAATATAACGTGTGAAGCTCGTCTTTTTTTTTTTTTTTTTAACTGAGGGGGTTGTGTCATGATTCCAGAACAAAATGAGTGGGTGTGCGTCAGATGTTGGTGAGGGTAGTCCCTGCCTCTTCACCTTACCATAGCTAGCCTTGAAAAACCCAGAACCTGTTCTAATGGTCGTGAAGTCTTTACTAATATAAACTGAGGTGTCAAAACTCGTCATTGAGGCTACAGGGAGGTCGTCAAATGTCGTCTTTATGGGTTAAAGTAAAACCTCATCATCGTCTCCTTTCCTTTGGATGACCATCTACGAATTAGCTGTTGTCCAAAGGTATCTGCCATTTTCTTTATTGCACAGTTTCTCTGTGCCAGTAGGCTGTTAAATCCACATAGGAATCTGGGCCGTTAGGAGCCATTAAAAACACCTGTTTTGACAACAAGTGGTTCACTTGTCTTACTGCATTTAAATGTTTTTTGAACTGCTGAGCAATCAGTTGCACACAGCCCACAATGATGTAATGGGAAAAGAAGAAAACCAGTGAAAACTTTTTTTTTTGAAACATAGAAAAGCTACATTAGCACAGAGGTTCATTGTTCCTGCCGACTCTCACCTAAAAACTACAAATCATACCTTCTCCCAGTCAAACTGACACCTCTGACGGTGTAAACAAAGCTTGCTGAGCAGAGGCGTATTTCACTGACATTTAATAAGTGCATCGTGTTTTCTTCAACCTTTCTCTGCAGTAAACAAGGAGAAGTGGAAAGAGGAGGATAGAAGGAACATTTTTTCCACCAGTTTAAAGTAAAGCAGTGTGTTTGGGCAGTGTCAGGGGTGAGTCATGTGTGTCTGTTCATAGTTAGCAGCTCCGTGGCAGAAAGAGAGAGGGTGAGCAGCAAAGTCAAAAGACAGGCTGATCTATAACAGAAAGAGAGAAAGAACCGTCCTCGCGTCCTGTTATCGTCTTGGTGAGTCTGGCTAGATAACCTTCCTAGATTAGGAACTACTTTTCCATTTAAAAAGGAAGAGCTTTGGCTCACCTTTTCTGAAATGTCTGCTGTGATAGATGTGATTGCTGACAGTTGGAAAAATGGTCTATCTATTTGATAAACATGCTCCCAGTTTGGGAATACCAAGGAATTCTCCCAATTTATTTATTTTGTTTGTACTGGAATTTTAGCTAAATGTGCTTTCAGCAAAGTCTTTGCTCTACAGCTCATCTGACCAATGTGACCTCAAAGTGGGCGAGTCCAGTAAGTGTGCTGTATTGAAATGTGTTGATCAGAGTGGAAATTTTCGAACATTCTCCCTACTGTGTAATAATGCCAGTATCCACACAGCAGGAATAACTGTATATTTTATTTTATTTTTTTAACTTTTTTGGAGTTATTAGTGATTTTGCTGCAGGTTTTTGGCCATCCAGTGGTGCTGACTGGGTTCTTGGCTCTAGAAGATTGTAAAGGTGAAAAAACACATTTAACTGACAAATAAGATTCATTTAAGGGAGCTGCCATGAAAGTGACTCATTCTGCACCCTTTAGCTGAGGACTGAGTCACATGAGTTTTGCTTTGAATCATAAAATTATGCAGTATTATGTAAGAGTAAGCATACAGATCGGCGTTTCCGACTCGAACCGCCCTAGCTGCACCGTTGGAGTATATCATATATGGCTCTTTAAAGTATAGCCAGCAAAGTCTCAGGAATCAGGTGACTGAAAACTAAAGTCACACTAAAAACAGATCAGTTTTTTTTTATTCTTTAAGATCTTGTGAATTCAGCCCTAATGGTCAACGTTAGGGTGACCCCACCGGTCGCAGCAGATGGCCCCGCCCCTCCCTGAGCCTGGTTCTGTTGGAAGTTTCTTCCTGTTAAAAGGGAGTTTCTTCTTCCCACTGTCGCTAAAGTGCTCGCTCCTCCTGGTTTTTGCCCTTTACTGGCCAAGTCAACGGAAATCCTGAATTTGTAGTTATCTTCAGTGTAAGCATAGAAAAAGTGCTTGTGTGAATGGGTGATAATAGGTGAATGGGGCTCGCACTTTGAATGCTCTCGGATAGTTGAAGTGCTTTATGTAAGAATCATTGCATTTAGTTAAATGATGCTGTTTTCAGAAGTGTTACCATATTTGAATGAGGCACTGAAGCAAATAAAATAAGCCATGGAGGAAGTATCATAGAATTTTGTCCTTTTGTTTCATCGTCCAGTGTTTGAGAAAACAGATGCAGCATTTACACTTGAGACACGCATAAACATCCACATGCAGTAACACAGGCCCTTTAATCACAGCACAGACTGTTATTGTAACAGAGCAGAGTGATGCAAGCTACAAAGAGGTGCTTTTTAACTACAGGAACTTTTTTTAGTTGGTATCTATTGGAGGTCATACTTCTCTTTTCGGTCTCCATCTAGAGGGACTGGAGACCATAATTCTTCTTAAAACTCACTTTTTATAGTCTTTTATTCATCCTACCATAAATTAAGCACTTTCCTTGGGCAAAATGAACGTCAGGTGACGTAAATATTTTGTGATTGTTCAAATTAATTAATGCTACACCAGTAAAACATTAATGTAAACAAACAATACATTTAAATGTTAGTCTTGGAAATGAAACAAAAGTAGGACGAACCAACTATAAATGAAATCCAGGTTTTACCACGTATTTATTTGATAGAGGAAGTACATCATAAAAGTCATGAGAAGTTTAAAAGTCAAGCATCCTACACAAAGTGTGTAGAAAAAGTGACGTCAGAGGTGATAGTAGTAGGTTTAACAAGTCTGGGGGAAAAAGAAAATGACATTGGAATGAGAATTTGAGATATTACCTGAACCGTGTTGTTTGTTTGTTGTTTTAAATTATTATTAAACTGTTACGTCTCTCTGTGTCCCAGAACTGTTGGGACTGAAAATGTCTACAGACGTGTTTGGTTTAGATGTAAAAAAACAAACTTGTAGTCATAAATCCTGCATTTCCAGAAGACCAAATCTGTGACTGTTCTTGACTTGTTAATGAGGTCAAATGAGGAAATGTTTTCTGCACAAACCGCAGATTCATTGTTTGTAATTAGAGAACTGTACCCATCATTTAGATCTTTTGCCTGTATTGTGGCGATTCCCAGAGGCAAGGCAGCGGATGCTGAGCTCATGTGTGGAGTTCAAGTAGCGTGGACTGACTGGGACGACCGAGCTATGTTTGTCACTGGAAAACAGGGGGAGAGAGAGAGGAGGTGAGGTAGCAGAGGTGAAATGAAATGACTCATTGTTTCCTTTTTGTCCTCTCTGTGCAGCCAGGGTCCTTTGTCATCTATCAGAGCCGTCATCAAGAGAAGTGAGTATTCACTCTCACAAATGAACATAGAACCAAGAAGAATGAAACAAAATGTGCACAGTGTTTGGAGTGAAGCTGATACTTCCTGTACCTTGGATTTACGGTTCCTAAAAGTGCCAACTTTCCATCCGCTAATTTTTTTGAGGGCTTTAACTCTAAAAATAAATCATAGTTTTAAGGACAGGGTTGTTTTTCTTGTTTGTTATTGCACAAAAAAAATAAAAATTAGTTGATTCTGACGGGGTCGGGTTGGAGTCATCCACTTTTTTTTCTTTTAGCAGTGATGGAAAACATCTTCTTGGTTCGTGTGACTATTTTGATTGTGTCCACACTGTTATCTTCTCTGTAGTGGGAATTTTTCTGCTTTGTTTTGCTTGCCTTTCTTTTTTCTAAAGCGGCTTCTGTTTTCCTATCAGCATCTTCCAGGTCGACCGCTCTGTCTGAGGCTCCCAGAGACAGAGAGCGGGACCGGGAGAGAGACCGAGAGCGGGAAAGAGACAGAGACAGGAGGTACGAGTCTGCCGTGCCATCATCATCACTGGTTCATATTTAACATGCAGATGTTTCATGAAGTGAAACGGGGAAAAGAAAAGTAAAATCCAGCTGTGAATTCTGTTGTTATGGTTACTCCATTTAGTCAGGATAATATGTTAACACTTTAGCCAACAAACAAGCTTTAATCTTCACTTTTAGAGTAAATGAGCTTTATGTAAGGTGTGTGTATGTGAGGGGAAGCTCATCACTGAGCTCCTTCCTGCGTCACGTTTAAACACTTGGACGGTTCCTGGATCTGAGCCCGTGTAAACATTTGAAAATAGTTGTGTACTCTTTGAGCTGCGTGTGTTTGCCTGTTTCTTCTTTAACAAGGTACTTTAAAACCATTTACTATGAATTCTGAGATTCATCTGGGTTTTTAATTAATGAAACAAAATTATATTTATGTCTCAAATTTAATTCCCCATTTCATTTAAAAGCTAAAATTAGCATTTTTTTATTATGTTTTCATTTAAGTTTTAATTGACATCTTTGATGTGACTAAAAATTTTAACAGTTTTTTAATTAAACTGTTTGGGCTATAAAACTTAAAAACAATTAGAATAGTTTGTTATCATTTTAGAAAAATATAGGTGAAAAAAATCATTACAGTCCTGAAGCTAAAATCAGGAAATGAACTTTTTGAAAAACAGTTTTTCTTTTCAGTGAAGTTAAACATCCATTTAGAAACTGAAAATTATAACTTTTTGAAAAGTCTGTGAAGGTTCTCAGTCATCCAGGTCATCGTAGTCAAAGGAGCTTGCAAAGAAAAGTGTCTGGACTTCTTTAAGTTGCTTGAAGACCTTAGAACTGAAGAAGCTTCTCGGATGAGAGGTGAAACGTCTTCAAGCAACTTAAAGAAGTCCAGACGCTTTTCTTTGCAAGCTCCTTTGACAACTTTTTGAAAAGAATTTTATTTTATGATTTAGTTGATTAATTTCAATGTGTCAGGAAAATGTATACATTAATATTTAATGAATTTATTGAATTAGTGAGGATAAAATGTATGTTTCCATACCTGCTTCTAAAACACTTGTGTGACGTGTGTAATGTTTTTTTTCGTCTCTGAACTTTGCACCTGTGTAGCTTTCAGAGCCTCCTGCCTGCTGTTGTCCTGTTTTAGATTTTGCTTTTTATAACCTTCCTTTAACATGTGACGTGTTTCCAGGCGTCCGGAGATCACCATCCTGTCAGCCGAGCCGCTGACCTCGACTTCCTGGTTTCCTGGAGCTTCTGGAGGGTTCCCACCTCCCCCTCCACCTCCTGCACAGATCTGGGGACCCACGATCCCTCCGGCCATACAGGTAAAGTGTTTATTCAGGGGTGTTTTTGTATTAAATAAATGGCTTTATTAAGTTTCATAGTCCTACCTGTGGATTCAGTGCATGTTTGTGTCTTATATTTGCTGGTTTTCTCTCACTCAGCCGCCTCCTACCTACGAGGAGGTGATCAGGGAGAAGACACAGGAGCAGGTTCTCTCCACTTCTTCCTCTGCCTCAGCATCCCCCTTGCATCCTGTTTCCAGAGTAACCATCTCCACGCAGACTGATCCAGGATCTGACCCTGATCCTCCAGAACCACAAGGCAAGAGGTTTTTTGTTTTTTTTGGGGGTTTTTTTGGGGGGGGGGGTTGTAAAGCTGGGTGATGTCAATAATATATCAATAACACATCAGTACAGTCATGACTTAAACAGTGCCGCTGTTCCAGATCTGCAGTCGTGTTGCCCTGCCCACACCTTCCAGCTGCACCTTTGCTACTTACGAGCTATTTATTGTGGAGAATATTGAAGCACTAAAAATTATTTTGCATGAATTTCACCTGTAGCGAAAAACTAATCTGATTTCTACATCTCCATTGTTGGGCTGTGGGGGGGTCAGACGTCAACACACTCATAGTAAATGTTTAAAGTCTGTTCATATTAGACATAAGCAAGCGTTGAAATAACTGAATATGGTTCATGATTTCCTGCATCATTGCGCTGCCCTCAGCACTTTTATTAGCTTTTGGTGTTTCAGTTTATATATTCTTCATGTGTTATTATCTCTTTCACAGCAAGTGTGTAATGTAAATGACACTGTGTGCCATTTACCTGGACCGCTGTTTAATGTTTATGCTGTTGGTGACTTTAATAGCATTTGTAAATAGTATTATCTGACAAATAATGTGGTTTGCTGTGTGGTGCAGATCATAAGAGGCTTGTACTTTAGTGACTTAACTTCTAGAATTTTATTAGTCTGTTACATTGCACCCATATATTTTATGGGTGGAGCTTTCTAACAAAGTTCACTAATTTTAGCTGAGGCGCTCCACCATTTCATAAAAAAAAAAACCCTAAATAACAACAACAAAACTATATTGTGACAGCCAAAGTACCAAATTCAGGGGTTAATGTTACAGTAGTTACACTATGTGCATGTTTTAAATACAGTACAATACAATACAGTCTGCCTGGGAACTAGTGAGCGGCGTGCCGCCTGTTATTTTACATTTCATAAAGTAACAGGATGTTATCGGTTTCGTCTGTATCAGCCAGCTGTATTGTCTGCCTTTAGCCTTATTTTATACGTAAGTAATCGAGTAAAAGTAACTTCTGTCTGTGTGTGCAGTAAGAAGAGCAGTGAAACCGCCTCGGCCGCCTTGCCGCCAGCCTCCTAAATCATCTCACGTTGATGACATCACCAGCACTGCCAGCCAATCAGCGCTTGCCCCCATTGGCAGTGACACGCACATTTCCACGCACACACAGTCCTGTGACCTCACTGATCTGGGTTCACCTTCAACCTCGAACTCTGGTGTTCAGACTGACCAGTGGGATCAGTGCTCTGCTACTGTGGATGTGCCTCCTCCTCGTACTTCTCCCACCACTTCCTTTGAAGTCCCATTGGAGCAACCCAGACCACGTCCTCGTTCGAAGCCTGGCCTTCGACCAATCAGCAGCGAGGTTAAAGTTCAGACTTTGGTGAAGCTGCGGGAGGACGGTTTGGCCACGTTAGCCAGTCGTGCAGCGAGTGACCCTGCTAACCAACAAGTCACTCAAGGGAAATATTCTCAGGAGTTACTCGAGGCCTTCAGTTCAGACGAGTGGGGCTTCCCCGATAACCGCGGCGACACCAGTGGGCTGAGCCAGTCAGAGAGTGAGGAAGGGGAGGACGAGGACGACTGGGAGGACATGGCAACACTGAAAGCTAGGATACAAGCCTTTGAGCAGCAGCAACAGCAGCAGGTGAGCAGTGAGAGCTGTGACGGTAATGACAAACAAAGCGGAACCACAAAGAGGCCCGAGCCTCGACCACGCCCTCGTTTCCAGGGGCAACAAGCCAAATCTGGCCCTCCCACGATTGCCCCCAAACCCAAAAACTTTTCACCTGGCCCTAAACCGTCCACCAAGGGATTCTGGGAAGATGGAGGTTTCACAGCAGCCACAGAGGACTCTACTGAAGCCCCCTCTTCTAAACCTCAAACAACGGCAGAACCATCACTGAAATCTGCTCCAGGCCTGGAGCCACAGCCCATTAAACCCACAGAGAAACCCACAACAACACCCAAACCCCAGTCCAGCACAGAAACCCTCTCCTCTGCTCCTGTCCCAGCCCCGCGGCCCCCTCCACCCAAGCTAACCCCCTGTCTCAGTGACCCTAAACCCCCACCCAGACCTCCAGTCACCCCCAGGGTCAGCGTGGGTGTTTCACACCCAGATAAGAGCACCACCGATGGACGCACTACCCCAACTCTAACCCCGAGGCCCTTGGTGGAAGTTGGTGGTGGATCACAGACAGAGACCCAGACTGGAAGTGAAGCGACGCAGAGCGCCACAAACCAAAGTGGTGAGTTTTCAACACAATTCACATTCTGCTGCCCCCTACAGGTGGCTCCAAGGAACTACTGCAGTTGTTATAAACAATATAAACAATTAATAATTGTTATTAATTAATAACTATTAATTCATAATTGTTACTTTGTTTCAATTTCTTTACCGAAGAGTGCTGTGGCAGAAAAATAATGACCTGCTGGTGCCTTAATATCAGCAGTTTTTCACATTTCACATGGCAGGCTTAGCATTTGTGGTAGTATCTAGAGATTAGTCCCATACTGTAGTGGTTTACACATTTGCCATAAAAGTCGAAAGATCCCTAGTTTGATTCCAGGTTGTGTCAGGAAACCTTCCAAGCAAACATGCAGAGCTGTCTGCTTCAGTGAGCGCTTGTGAATAAGGAAGCAGATGAAAGTAGAATTGTGCTATTAGCAAACAAAGGAGGTGCAGCCATGCTTACTTATAGGTTGTGATGATGATAATAATAATAACAATGATAATAATAATAATTGACTAATAATAGCACTAATCTGCAGTCTTGGTGAACTAGTCTGTTGCAAGCTCTGGTTGAAGTGACCACCTCACAGTCAGAGTAAACGATAAACATTTCTGTAGTCACAGACAGAGGATGAGTTTGGAGATGATATGGAGGATCACCACAGCAGCAACCTGGTGCTAAATAAATGACATGGTTATCGGTCACCAAACCTTCAAAATAAGAGCCAGAACCAAAATACTTACATGAGTGTTCTGACAAACTATATATTTGTGGAAAAACTATACTTGGCACAGAAATAAGTTAGGGGGACATAATGTCATAGCAAAATAAGTTCTTGGTAATCAGTAATTGATAAAGATCATGGTTGGAGCAGCATGAGTGCTTGATATGATTGTTATTGATGTATCTTGTCGTTGAATACAGCCACCAGCTACTGATAGTTGTGCCTCTGGCTGTTGGGACTGACCATGTGTCACTTGAGCTGTTTTACAGGTTTTTGTTTTGTTTTGTTTTGTTTTTTTTTTTGCTCCAAAGGTTTTAAATTGCGCTGACCTACATTTCCTGTTTTTTGTTTTTTTTGGGTTTTTTTTTTTTCACATATCTCAGCAGTAAACTAAACACAGAAACTTCGTCCTTTAAAAAAACAAAACAAAAACCTCTTTGTTTCTGCACATGTGCAGAAGTGCAGCTCAGCTCACAAATATTTACAAGAGGGAAGCGTGCTGCTTATCTACTAGATAACCCGATGGTGTAGCTGCTGCTGATAAGCATTGACTGAACTTGAGAGCTGCGCTGTGATAATCTGCTATAGCTGGATTTACTGATAGTAAATGGGAACATTTTCCTTTTAATGCTACTCACAGTTTTAAGCGTGATGACCCGAAGATAACAGGGTGCAAATAAAAGCTAAGCAGCCGGAACTTCTTTATGCTTTTTCTGTTTCTCAGTCTTATACATTTAGGTCTGTTTAAGGACAGACCTAAATGTATAAGATAAAACCAAAGTTTTTACAGCTTTGCCACCAATTTGGATTTTATATTCATCAAAATGTAACTGAAATGCAATTTTAATTCAAGGGTTCTCACAAAAGCATCATTAACTGTTTAGAAATGGCCTTTATATACACGGTTCCCCCATTTTCATTAGCTTATTAGACAACAAACAGTTTTATGACCACATGAGTGCCTATTTGGTTAGATTTAGACTTTAAAATGTATTAGGCTACAGCCTGGACATAAAGTAAAATACTAATTTAAATTTCAGCATTTAAAACTAAAAAGTTTGCTTTAAAAAAGGTTATTGTTTTGGTTAAAATGCAACTCTTGCCAGCTGTTTTAACGCTCTATTTGTGTGGTTGCCATGGTGACACATCTTCTCTGAAGAGCCTGGACAAACTATGTGTTACAGGGTGGCAGCACCTGTAGACAGCTATCTATGTTTCCTGTAAACAGGAACGAAATGATCAGACAGGGAGTCGTGGCTTGTCGTTCCTGAATACTCCGCAATTATTGCTGTTTACAGCTGCACTGAAAAAGTACCTTTATGTCCATGAACAGGGATGAATCGATTTCTTTACTGTGAGGCCAGGCTGGCTCTAAGCAGTGGACCGTGATGATGTCATTTCAGGCACAGCAGCTCCACCTAACTCTTCTGTTTGCCAGTGATAGCCAATCAGAAAGAAGTTGGCTTAAAAGACATATGAGCTAAATTAGCTTGTTTGATATATTTAGATTAAAAAAAATGCCCAATTAATGCCCTATTGGGCATTGTGTGTGGCACTCCTCTGGTTTTGTGTATGCTGAAGCATTATCCGTTAAAAGAGAAGCCAGTCCTGTGCTAATGTTGACATTTGAAATGCAATCCGCTGTTTACCCTGAAACCTCTGTCAGGGATTTATAGTGGCGTCAGTGTTTGTGGTGCCTCCTCACTGACTGCTGAATACATATTCATTGCGATCTCAGAATTCACAATGAGCAACCGTCTCCTCCTCCATGGACCAGTGAAGTCCTTTCCGTCTCGGCCTGAGTTTGCAGACAAATTAACTAACCTATTTTTAAATGACACCAATTGAACCTAATGTGCTGTCTACCAAGACACCGAAACAGCGGACATTCCCTAAACCAGCCCAGATGTTGACTTTGGAATCAGTGCTAATCGCACAAAACTCCAATATAAACCATTTACAGGATGTTTCCTCCTGCTTTGTAAAATGGTTTTACTGGTGAAATAAAGAATGCCTGGGACTTTCTGGGAGGACTGACTGGAGACATTTAATTACACTTCGTGAAATAGTCACAAATAACGATGTCAACCAAGATAACAGTGCTGTGGAAAACATGGTAACTGCTGTACCACAGCAGATCATCTGCCTCCATCTCACCCATTCCTACTAACCTCCTCTCCACACCAACCCTCTGCATGTCCTTCCTCACTAAATCCACAAACGTCTGGTCTTCCTCTTTTTCTCCTGCTTTGCAGCTTCTACATCCTTTGTCTAATATCCACCATCCTTCCTTCACACTATCATCTTGGAAACTTTCATTCTTATTGTTATCCTTGTGTCACAAATCACCCCTGACACTGATCTCCACCCACCCCACCCTGCCTGCACTTCTTCTTCACCTCTCTTGAGTACTGTCCTTGAGTTCTGTCTGCTGCTTTGGATGTTTGACCTCCAGGTATTTACATTCACCTACCTTGACTACTTCTGCTCCTTGCATGGTCTAAACATGAATCGGTTGATTTGAGACCGGCTTCATGAAAAATTGCGTTCATGAAAACAAAAATAAGATGAGCAGAAATTCTCCCTCATCAAGCTGCAAGCACTGCATGAATGTTATAAATGTGTCTCAGCTTCAAGCAGTTTTAGAATTAGATTTTTATTAAATCCCCATCGACAACTTTATTTTCAGGTTTATTTTCTGATTTATTTAATTAATTTTTTTGTCATTTCAGTGAAAGTTGGAAGTTCTCGTCCAGGCGTCCCAAACAAGCCAGCAGCACTGATGGCACCGCGCAGAGCAAGTGGTAAGACACAAGTGTGTGTGTGTGTGTGTGTGTGTGTGTGTGTGTACACTGAGCAGAAGCACAATAGAGTGTTTGAGAGCTTAGAGACACAAATCTGTCCTGCTTAGAAATATGCAAACTTGCAAAGAGATTTTCTGTGGTTTGTGTTTTTGCATGTGAGTGTGTGTCTGTGTGTGCTGAAGGGAGGGGGGGAGGGAAGGAGGGAGGGTGATGCATTATGCAATCCAAACCTTGTGAAAGAAAAAGACTGCGATTGTGTAAGGAGAAACAAGACCCCACTGTTGTTGTGGTGGTGTGCTGTGGGTTTGATGCACCAGAATTGTGTGTGTGTGTGTGCTTAAGTGTGTATGATATTTTTTCCAGGGTGTTTATTGGCTGCAGCATGAAGTTGTGCAAACAATAGTCTTTCATTAAATATATTTATCCTTCTCTCAGCTAGTAGTCATGCGCTGTGAGCCTCAGATTGGTGAGTGCATATTGAGGGATATCGACGCCCTTATCAGTTCTGCTCAGACGTCTCATCCTCGATGGCACGACAGTATTTTTTGGCACAGCGAAAAATGTTTACTATGATTAAAAAATGTAAACTTAAAAAACAAAAAACAATGTGAAACTGCTCGTGGTTTTCCTTTGGTCACCGTTTTGTCTCCACTACACTGATCGCAGAGTACAAACAGTAGAAAAAGGGCTGGTTTGTGACTCAGGTGTGAACAAGCTCCACCGATGTGAGTCTGACGTCACTGTTTGGCAGCGAGCTGTCAGGAAAGAAAAAACACATGACAGCACTGGAAAAGGGAGCTAATCGGCTTGGAGGCATTCTGACTTATACAACCGTTTGGAAACTGTTCTTGACTCCGGTCCTTACTCAGGATGTTTGCTGCTGTGTTGCAATGAAGCAGTGTGATTCTTCTGTGTGTGTTACTTAAATTTAAATGAATTTGGTCATCATTACGCCTTCTGTGTATGCCATACATTAACTACATGACCATAGCTGTAGTGAATCTGTCCTACCTCAAGCATCATGTAGTTTGATTAAACTGCAGATTTCCTGGAGTTTTGGAACAATAACAGCACTTCTGGATTGCTGGAAAAACAAAAGCCAGCACATGTAAATAACTTATTTAGGAAGCAAATCGAATGCAGACTGGCTGGAGGGACTCAGATAATCAGAGACTAGTCTGAGCTTGTCGTGGAAGGCATACAGCAGCAGAAGAGATGGGAAATTGAGGCTTGATCGCAAATGAAGGCCCGAATCACTCAGTATTAATATAATGTGCTAATAAAGAGTTGGTGACTTTATATGGCCCTCGCTGAGCCTGGTTCTGCTGGAGGTTTCTTCCTGTTAAAAGGGAGTTTTTCCTTCCCACTGTCGCCAAAGTGCTACTCATAGGGGGTCATATGATTTGTTGTGATTTGGCGCTATATAAATAAAATTTAATTGAATTAAATATGGAGGTCCAGCAACATTAAACTCACCACTTGGCAACCATCCCATAAACAGGTTTGGGAATTTATTTGGGAAGTTATTTTGAAGCACTGTGCAAATTAAATGTTAGTGCCTGTTTTTCCTCTAGAAGTTGTTAACCATATTTAGTTTGCCGTGTTTCTGTTGTGTCTTAGTTCAAGCACACATTATGCATTTTTTGCCAGCAGAGGGCAACAAAGGACATTTATCAAATCACTTTTTTTTATTGTCACATCACATGTGCAGGCACACTGGCACAGCACATGCGAGTGAAATTCTTGTGTGCGAGCCCCACAAGCAACAGAGATGTGCAAACACAACAACACAAACGAGCAAAATACAAGAATGGCCAACCTGAAACTAATAAATATATGTACAATATATAATAGTGTATGCATTTCTGGATGTGTATACTAAATATTTTCCTACGTGTGTGTGTGTGTGTGTGTGTGTGTGTGTATACACATTTTTACAAATTAAATAGTAAAAAAATAAAATAAAATAATAATAATAATAATAATAAAATATATAAAATATACAGAGTTGAATATGTGCAAAACAAGTGGCATTTATATACAGTGTGGAGTGCATAATGTTAAAGTTCCAGTAGTGAAGCTGAGGTGTCTATGACGTGTTCAGCAGTCTGATGGCCTGATGGAAGAAGCTGTCTCTCAGTCTGCTGGTTCAGGACCGGATGCTGCAGAACCTCCTTCCTGATGGAAGCAGTCTGAACAGTTTATGGCTGGGGTGACTGGAGTCCTTGATGATCCTCCCCGCTTTCCTCAGGCAGCGCTTCCTGTAGATGTCTTGGAGGGAGGGAAGCTCACCTCCAATTATCCGTTCAGAGCACCGCACTACTCGCTGGAGAGCTTTGCAGTTGTAGGCGGTGCTGTTGCCATACCAGGTGGTGATGCATCCAGTGAGGATGCTCTCAATGGCACAGTGATAGAAGGTCCTGAGGATGCGGGGGCTCATGCCGAATCTTTTCAGTCTCCTGAGAAAGAAGAGGCGCTGCTGCGCCTTCTTCACTGTTTTGTTTGTGTGTACTGACCACGTAAGATCCTCAGCCAGGTGTACGCCAAGGAACCGGAAGCTGCTCACTCTCTCCACAGCAGCGCCGTTGATGGTGATGGGGGTGTGTACTTCTCTGCACCTCCGGAAGTCCACTATCAACTCCTTTGTCTTTGCGACGTTGAGGGTGAGATGGTTGTCTTGACACCAGTGGGTCAGGTGTCAGTGATTTAGGTTTAAATAGAAATGCAATCTGAAGAAAAATGATTGCTGAAGCATCTCAACATAAACAAGTAAAGTTCAGATGATGTCTGTGTCAGCAAACATCATCATACCAGGAGCATCGCTCATGTCCAGAAAGAAGAGAGCTATGACACGTGCTTGGTGTGAGTCTCTGTAAGTCTAGCTTTTGTTTTTTGTTGTTCGCACACTAAAATTTGGCTAAAACATAAGTCATTCAAAAATAAAAAGATTCTTCTTAAACGTTTAATCTTGACATTGTAGGAAAATTTTCAAGATTTTGTTCAAATTATTCTAAAAATTATTTTAATTTTTTTTTTTTTGCGTGTAACGTTGCTTCACCTTTTCTTGGTCATTGGTGAGCTCTTCTTTTATGTAAGTGCTACATTAAAAACTTTCTCTTGTTGCCTGTTTTTTTTTTTTTTTTTTTTTTTTTTTTTTATCGAACCACTCAGATTATTAAATCAGCTTTAATCTCAGTGGTTTGATTTCATGTATGCATTTAATTAAAGCAAATTATGTTTGCTTTCTGCCTGCAGCCCCAAATCTGGCTCCCAAACCCTCTGGAGTCTCATCAACTCCTCTGGATCCAAACCCAGTCCCGGCCAAACCTGCAGCAGCCCCTAAAACTTCTGGACCAGCCCCAGCCAAACCCCCGAGCCCGGCTCCAGCTCCGGCCTTGAGGAAGGGGCCTGTGGTCCAGACCAAACCTGAGACTGCCAACACTACAAAACCAAACTCCTCAGACCCTCCTCTGCCGCCACGGTAAGAAAGAGAGCCAAGCTTTAGGAAAGATGGAAGTTTGCTGCAAAGCAATGAATTTCGAGGCTGTGGTGTCTCTGATCCATATGCTGTAAGGCTAATGCAGAGGACCGGGTTCAGGTCCACCACAATTTAAAAAAAAAAAAAGGCTGAAAATCCCAAAACATATAATACATACACATACTGAGAGTGGTTTCAGTTGAATTTTGACTAACCTCTGGTGCAGTACGGAGCAGCCCCTCTTCTTTCAGCTACATACAGCAGTCGACTCTCAGAGCCGTACACATCAAGAACTCCACCTTGTTCTACTTTATCACTGTAGATAATGCATACAGATAAACCAGCAGCTTTTCACAGTGAATGCAAACAAATCAGTCCAGCGGGCTTTGATCCAGAGCTAAACAGACTGAGGATGAAGCATTTTTGTGTCTACATAGGTGATTACCTCTGAACCTGCAAAATGAGGTCCAGCAAAATTAAGAAAGTAAGGTAGTAGGTGTTAGAGGGGCTACAGCTGACTGCTGCTGTCTTCTCTTGAAGACACCTCCTGTTTATCTTTACCTGACTAATAATACTCTTTCTTTTACCTTCAGTCCATCCAGTGTGAAGCTCCTCCCCCTTCGTCCACCACCAATCAAATCTATCCCCGGGCGCCCGCCGCCTCCAGCCATCAACTCCACCTCCTCAGGTAGCCAGAATCCAACTCTGTCTAAAGTTAGTCCCGCCCCTTCCCTTTCTGCTGCTAGTCAGGTGACACCTTCACAGACCAGTTCCAGTCCTCCTCCTTCAACAGCCAATCAGACACAGGCACAAAAGGCATCAAAGCGAGGACCACCTCTGCCTCCACGCCCTAAACCTGGACACCCTCTGTACAACAGCTATGCGGTAAACCTGCACGTGCACACACACACAAAGATACAAGTTCTGATTACGTTTCTAATTCAACTTTATCTCTCAGAAGCAGGAAGTGCTGATCGTCCTGGATGACCCGAGTCCCTCGCCTTCGGAGCATCCTCCAGGCGAGAATCAGAATACCACCACCCCCCTAATCAACACATCACAGTGTCTGCTCGATCTGGACCCCAAGCCAGAGTCCGTCCCTAATCAGGACAACCAATCGAAACCTGCCCTGGAGGACCACAGCCTGTCAGGCTCAGAGGTACAGCTTCAGATTTTTTTATTTATTTTTTAGTTGATTATTCAAATCATTTTTGAAAAAGGATCAGAGGTCACCTGTCAGGAGTGGTGGGTTGGTCCAGACCAGACAGGTTTGTAGCTCTGGACTACAGAGGCCCAAACTGCAAAAAATCATAAATTATAGGAAACTGGAACGGTACCAAAATAACATTTGGTCAATGAATAATTTACATTTGTATTGTCATCAGACCTTTTTATATTTGGTGCATTTAATTGAATATTATTTTAATTAATTTTGTTATTGATTTTTTATTTTGACTCACTGCAAAGGTTTTAAACGGTTTTTAAATGGATAAATATTAATGACGTTATGTTTTGTTTATCCTTTAGTCGATTCTTCCGGTGCAGCCTGCTGAGCTGAAGGAGCAACCAGACTCTCCTCCTGTCAGGTCAGACACACACACACACACACACACACACACACACACACACACACACACACACACACACACACACACACACACACACACACACACACACACACACACTCTCTCACTCTCTATGAGCCACATGTTCTAATCAGCCGGTTTTTCTGCAGCGGCCCTCGGTGCGTCGCTCTGTTGGACCACGAGGGAGAGGAAGAAGACGAGCTCACCTTTTCCCAGGGTGATGTCATTGGTCTCCTGGAGCTCATCGGGCAGGAATGGGGGCGGGGCCAAATCCACGGCCGAATTGGTAAATTCCCCTTGAACTTCACAGAGGTGGTGGAGCCCCTCCCAACGTCAGTGACTGAACTGGGGGAAACTGACAAACCGGCACTGACGGACACGGCAATGACAGAAAACTCCGGTGAGCTGAAGGCTGCATTATCATCATCTCTACATCTCTATGCGTCACTGGTGTGGACAACTGCTAACAAAAGTTTTTGGGGGTTTTTTGTTTTGTAAATCCAAGGTTGCTTAGAGGTTTAAAAAGCTTTAAATGTCACCTTTGCTTTAAAAGAAGTTGTGAATCTTAGTGTCTGGTTTCTTAAAATGCTGGTAATTTCACACATTTTCTGGGTTTCCTTCTTCCGTCTGCATGACTCTGCAATGACCCTGTTATATGATGGCAAAATTAACACTTAAAGAGGTAAAACATTTCTATCACAGTCCTGGTGATTTGGACAAAACCTTGTTGATGAACACCAACATTTTATATCTGCAGTATGCATGCTTCTGAAGATCTGTTTGTGCTGGTTTTATCTTCACATTTTGGAGCAATTACATAAATAAATCAAAGTGATGGTGTAACACTGCTAACAAGCTACAACAGCTTCTCTGTTTGCACTGTTTAAGAAACAAAAAAGACGGTCATGCCTGTTCTCATGGGGAAGATAAACTCAAAGATAAAGTTGTTCTAAAAAACAGGTTTTAAATGACTGAACTAGAATATGCTGGAAGTAAACTTTTTTTTTCCATTTATGCACAACAATCAGTCTTCTCGCACCTCCTTGTGACCATTTTAAAACTGCAGGAGAAACAAGAGAGAAATGTTCTCTGCTTTGGACGTGAATGTAATGATGCTCTTTCACGTATCATCTGCAGGAATAAAGACTTCACAGGGCTCAAACTCAGAGGTGAGTGAATTTTCATTTTCTATTGTTATTTTATTAACCCTTTAAGACCTACCATAGAACCAAGTCCGCCAGAGCTTATATTATATTTTTACATGCTGTGGAGCCATTTTTGGGAGCATTTCAAGTTGCTATACATCAATACAACCATTATAGCCCAGATTTTAATAATATGTATTCATTAAGTGCATAGTAATTACATAAATTGCAAAAAAGTGCAATAAACTACAAAAAAATTGAAAATCGTTTTTGATTTTTTAACATATATTTGTAGTTAGAGAAATTTAAGAGGCTTATCCCTCAAAACTGTAAATACAAAAAAGTTGCACAAAATAGTTTCCCACCACAGGAAATTTATTTTGAGTGTCTTCATAGTTTAATTTTTGAAATACACCAATTTTTATACACTGCTGGAAAAACGAAAATAAATATTATACTGCAAATTTGCAAAAAAGCAGCATATGCATCAAAATAAACTATTTCCAGCAGTGCAATATGAGTCCTAAGCATCCCAGAAACGACACAGAAAGTCATAAAGTCAAAGATAACTTTTAAAAAGAGCAGTATAGGCCCTGAGGCCCTGATCGCAAAAAAGACTACATTTCCGCGAAAATGACGTCACTTCCGGTTTCGGCCAGGTAATGGCAGAAATGCAAAAGTTCGCGCTGATGTCTATTCCAACGTAGGAAGTGTTATGAACAGCTGATCGGACCGGCAAAGCGTGTTTCTGGAATATTATGTTTTTGTTCCTGCAAGCGCTTTTTATGCAGTTTTTGCAAAGCTTTATGTGGAAGGAAACCGTGACCTAGGACAAGCTGATGGCACAATATGTAAGTACAACTCCTCCGGTTTCATATGCAAAAAAAATTTTTGCGCTAGCTTACGTGGTTGCAGTGCTACCGGGATTTAAAAATAGTTACGCATAACAGAGCGTTCCCGCTCCGATCGGCTCTAAAGGGTTAAACAGCAATTAATGAGCATGTTTCTTATTAGAACTGCACAATTAATTTAACGAACCTGATTGAGCAATATTGAAAAAGACAATCAAGCGGAGCCAAATAAATGTCTGACGTGTCTGCGCCTGCTGTTTGAAAATACTTTGGATTCAGGCCAATCGGAAGCAAAGAGTGCTGTAAAGTTGTGCCTGCACCGCAAAGACACACATCTAATCTAAAAATCAGTGCAAAAGTAATTTCCCAGCATTAGCTCAGATGCCCATCAAAGCGAGCCTGTTCATCACGTCTGTGAAACATCCAGCTCACTAAGATGCAGCATAATCACATTCAGCCAAAGAAAAGTGTCTAATAAACACGGTGGCAGAGCCTTTGGTGGACGTCCCAAATCTTTAGAATAACCTCCCTGATTAACATGTTTTCTTATGCATTTCTGTGCATGTTTGCTGATATAGTGATTATAAATGTTATAAGTAACAAAGGCTTCAGGTAAACAGTCAACACGATGGACAAACATGTTCTCCCCTCAGTTATTTATCCATCCATCCATCCATCCATCCATCCATCCATCCATCCATCTTCATCCGCTTTATCCGGGGCCGGGTCGCGGGGGCAGCAGCCTAAGCAAAGAGGCCCAGACCTCCCTCTCCCCAGCCACCTCCTCCAGCTTATCCGAGGGAATACCAAGGCGTTCCCAGGCCAGCCGAGAGATATAATCTCTACAGCGTGTCCTGGGTCTGCCCCGGGGCCTCCTCCCGGTGGGACATGCCTGGAACACCTCACCCAGGAGGCGCCCAGGGGGCATCCTTGTCAGATGCCCAAACCACCTCAGCTGGCTCCTTTCGATGTGGAGCAGCAGCTGCTCTACTCTGAGCCCCTCCCGGATGGCCCAACTTCTCACCCTATCTCTAAGGGAGAGGCCAGCCACCCTTCGGAGGAAGCTCATTTCTGCCGCTTGTATCCGCGATCTCGTTCTTTCGGTCACTACCCACAGCTCGTGGCCATAGGTGAGGGTAGGGACGTAAATCGACCGGTAAATTGAGAGCTTCGGTTTTACACTCAGCTCCCTCTTCACCACGACGGACCGGTGCAGCGTCCGCATTACTGCAGCTGCAGCCCCAATCCGTCTGTCGATCTCCGGCTCCCTTCTCCCATCACTCGCGAACAAGACCCCGAGATACTTGAACTCCTCCACTTGGGGCAGGAACTCATCCTCGAATTTTAAATCATGCTTTTTATTTGTTCTTGTTTCTAATGTCTCTGTAAAGCACTTTGAATCACCTTGTTGTTGAATTGTGCTATACAAATAAACTTGCCTTGCCTTGCCTTGCCTCGACCCGGAGTGGGCACTCCACCCTTTTCCGGCTGAGAACCTTGGCCTCAGATTTGGAGGTGCTGATCCTCATTCCCGCTGCTTCACACTCGGCTGCGAACCATTCCAGTGCAAGCTGGAGGCCCTCACCCGATGAAGCCAACAGAACCACATCATCTACAAAAATCAGAGATGAGATTCTGAGGCCACCAAAGCGAAAGCCCTCCGCCACTTGGCTGTGCCTAGAAATCATGTCCATAAAAATTATGAACAGAACTGGAGACAAAGGGCAGCCCTGGCGGAGCCCATCACCCACCGGGAACGAGTCCGACTTATTGCCGGCAATGCGAACCAAGCTCTCGCAACGGTTGTATAGGGATCGAATGGCTCGTAGCAATGGGCCAGACACCCCATATTCCCGCAACACCTCCCACAGGACACCCCGAGGGACACGGTCGAATGCCTTCTCCAAGTCCACAAAACACATGTAGACTGGTTGGGCAAACTCCCATGCACCCTCAAGTATCCTGGAGAGGATAAAGAGCTGGTCCAGTGTTCCGCGACCAGGACGAAAACCGCATTGTTCCTCCTGTATCCGAGGTTCGACTAACGGACGAACTCTCCTTTCCAGCACCCTGGCATAGACTTTCCCAGGGAGGCTGAGGAGTGTGATCCCCCTGTAGTTGGAACACACCCTCCGGTCCCCCTTCTTAAAGATGGGGACCACCACCCCGGTCTGCCAGTCCACAGGTACTGCCCCTGATCTCCACGCAACATTGCAGAGGCGTGTCAACCAGGACAGCCCTACAATGTCCAGAGCCTTCAGGAACTCGGGGCGGACCTCATCAACACCAGGGGCTCTGCCACCAAGGAGTTGTTTAACTGCCTCAGTGACCTCTCCCCCGGAAATTGGCGCGTCATTCCCCTCATCCCCAGACTCTGCTTCCTCCTTGGAAGACGTGTCAGTGGGATTAAGGAGGTCCTCGAAGTATTCCTTCCACCGCCTGACAATTTTCTCAGTCGACGTCAGCAGCGCTCCGCCAGCACTATACACAGTGCAGGTAGAGCACCGCTTTCCCCTCCTGAGACGTCTGACGGTTTGCCAGAATCTCTTCGAGGCAGTCCGAAAGTCTTTTTCCATGGCCTCTCCGAACTCCTCCTACACCCGAGTTTTTGCTTCAGCCACTGCCTGAGCCGCATTCCGCTTGGCCTGTCGATACCTGTCGGCTGCCTCCGGAGTCCCACAGGCTAACCAAGCCCGATAGGACTCCTTCTTCAGCCTGGTGGCTCCCTTCACCTCTGGTGTCCACCATTTGGTTCGGGGATTACCACCACGGCAGGCACCAACCACCTTGCGGCTGCAGCTCAATGCAGCAGCTTCGGCAATGGAGACGCTGAACATGGTCCATTCGGACTCAATGTCCCCAGTCTCCCTCGGAATGCTGTTGAAGCTCTGCCGGAGGTGTGCGTTGAAGATCTCGCGGACTGGGGCCTCTGCTAGACGTTCCCAGCGCACCCTCACTACGCGTTTAGGTGCACCAGGTCTGTCCAGCGTCCTCCTCCGCCACCTGATCCAACTCACCACCAGGTGGTGATCAGTTGACAGCTCAGCCCCTCTCTTTACCCGAGTGTCCAGAACATATGGCCGCAGGTCTGCTGATACGATTACAAAATCGATCATCGACCTACGGCCTAGAGCGTCCTGGTGCCACGTGCACTTATGGACACTCTTATGTTCGAACAGGGTGTTCGTTATGGCCAAACTGTGATTAGCACAGAAGTCCAATAACAAAGCACCGCTCGGGTTCAGATCAGGGAGGCCGTTCCTCCCAATCACGCCCTCCAGGTCTCGCTGTCGTCACCCACGTGAGCATTGAAGTCTCCCAGCAGGACAACAGAGTCTCCAGGTGGAGCACCCTCCAGCACCCCCCCCCCCCCCCCCCCCCCCCCCCCAGGGACTCTAAGAAGGCTTGGTACTCTGAACTGCCACTCGGCGCATAAGCGCAGATGACAGTCAGGACCCGTTTCCCGACCCTAATGCACAGGGGACAAACCCTCTCGTCCACCGGGAAAAACCCCAACGTACCGGCAGCAAGCCGAGGGGATATTAGAATTACCCACCCCAGCCCGCCGCCTCTCACCAGGGGCAACTCCAGACTGAGACAGAGTCCAGCCCCTCTCCAGGAGACTGGTTCCAGAGCCCAAGTCATGTGTAGAGGTGAGCCCGACTATATCTAGGTACCTCTCAACCTCACGCACTAACTCAGGCTCCTTCCCCACCAGAGAGGTGACATTCCATGTCCCTATTGCCAGTCTTGGCAGCCGGGGGTCAGTCCGCCAGGGCCTCCGCTCCTGGCCGCCACCCGGCACACAATGCACCCGACCCCTATGGCGCCTCCTGCGGGTGGTGGGCCTGCGGGAGGATGGGCCCATGTCTCCTCTTCGGGCAGTGCCCATGGACCATGGACTAAGGCCCGGCCACCAGACGCTCGCCTTCGGGCACCCTCCCCGGGCCTGGCTCCAGGGCAGGGCCCCGGTAACCCTATCCCGGGCAGGGTAAACTGTTCCCTCGGTGTCCTTTTCATAAGGGTCTTATGAATCGCTCTTTGTCTGGTCCCTCACCCAGGGCCAGTTTGCCATGGGAGACCCTACCAGGGGGCGAAAGCCCCCAGACAACATAGCCCCTGGGATCCCTGGGACACGCAAACCCCTCCACCACGATAAGGTAGCGATTCAAGGAGGGGCAGTTATTTTTCCATGTGCAGTAAAACCTGGGCTGTAAAGAAAACATGTCAGAGAAGAAGAAAAGCGTCTCACTGCTGTCGAGTGCTTTGCAACAAGTTTTATTCACTTTAATCAGCAGCTGGATTGAAAACTTTATATTTGCTTGTAGGAGCTGCACTGAGATTAGAATAAAGGCTGAATTTGTCTGCAGAGATTCTTTAAAAATCAATGTAATAAGAATATAATCCACAGTGTTGATGTGGTTTGGTCTTAATTTTTTCGAACTTTTAAGAACCACTTATTTAGATTTTTAAAATAATGCAAGAAGCTCTTTTTATATTCTGTTTTATTATATAATTTAATTTATCGTTGAGTTAAAATGTAAGTGATTCTCTCAGTATTGATTTGTTAAACTGTGCAGACTGAGGAGTGGGCTGTAGCTCTGTTTGACTTCCCCGGTCAGACCCCAGAGGATCTGTCCTTCCACAAGGGGGCGCTGATCCAAGTGACGGAGCACATCGACACAGAGTGGAGGAGAGGAAGAGTGGAAGGGAGAGAGGGGCTTTACCCCGTGGCCTTTACACAGCCCTGCAAAGGTACAAAAGTCTGGCATGTGTGGGTCAGAGAGAGATTGTCAAACGACAAAAATACACAAATAAACACGCAAACTGTATCAAACTTTTTTTCTTCTCCAGCTCAGCCAATCACAGGCCAGCAGCCTGTGGCTAAAGGAATGGCCAAAGCTCTGTTTGACTTCACAGCAGAAAGCGAGGATGAGCTCACACTGAAGGTGTGTGAGGAGCCATAAGTATTTGGACACAAACACACTGTAGTCTCTCCTCTGTACACTTTCAAAGTGCTGATTTTATACATAATCCCTCCTTCACTGGCATTAATACCTCTGTAGACTTCATGTTGACAGTTCCAGTAATCTGACGAGTTTCTCCTTGGATAATGAGAGAACAGGACTCACCTGGTCATGAAACTATCAGTTAACTATTCAGGTATTTTTAAGCCTCAGAAAATTGGCTTAAAAAAAGAAAAAGTATAAAAACAGTTGTTAATCCAGTGTTTTTGTTAAGCGCCTTAAATTAAGGCTGAAAGACTGCACTTCAATCACATCTTGACTGGTTGATTTCAAATCCACTCTGGTGGTGTACACAAGAAAAATTACAGAAAACAATATATCACTGATAAATCCTTACAGATATAAATAAAATACCCTGTCAGATTTCCTGTGTTTACTTTTAGGTGTTGATTTTTTTTGGGTGGGTTAATAACATGTCTGCTCTCTCTCTCTTTGTGTTTCTGTGCAGGTCGGTGACATTATCACACAGGTGGAGGCTGTGGATGAGCAGTGGATTATGGGCGTTGTGGGCGGGAAGCATGGGATTGTGCCTAAAAACTACATTTCACTTTTGTGACAAGGGAAATCCTGAAACGGCTGATGCGGGAAAACAAAGAATGAAACTGCTGTTTGCTGCCGCTCTGTTAAACAGGTTGGAGGTTTGGAACTGGAAACCTTCAACCTGTCGATGCTACAGGGAGTGCTGGTGCTCCCACGGACACGCACATGAATCTGATCCAGTGTTGTTGAGAAAAACTGAACAGAATAAAATTAACTCCGATTATGCTGGTGGTTTGATGACGTCTTTGAGGTGTCTGTGGTCATGATAACTGAGTACTGGATGATTAAGAGGTTGGTTTTCCTCTCACAGTCATCCTGCTGTGATTATTTTCATCTGCTGTGGAGTGGATCTGAGCTTTCTCTTTTTTTTTTCTTCTTCTTTTCTTTTTCTTTTTTTTTCTTTTTTTTTTTTACATTAAATTTACATGTTTGGTATTTGTGAAGATCACTTAAAATCTGGATCAATGGACATAGCAGATCCAGGTTGGACGTCTGCTTCAAAGAGCCACTTTTTAGATACTCAAAGAAAGAAATGTGTAACACATTAATGCAGTACGTTACTTAAGTGCTCGCCAGAGAAAGAAATTTGTTACAATGCTTGTTCCCTTACTTTTGCACTACTCTGTAACATGATCTGAAATGCATTGTCATATAACCACCAGTTAACAATATATACCTAAAGCTACAGTCCCACACATCAACACAAATCCCTATCCTAATGAGGACACACAAGATCTCTGTCTTGGTGTTTACACATGAACACAAAGCAAAGCTGATACCATCCCAACAAGACTTCAGAGGAATCACCACAGTGACTCTGCTGTGGAAACATGAACAGGTAGAAATGGAGGCTGCAAACCTGACTACCTGTTGAAGATGAGGATCTGGATCGGCATGCGCTCGGCTTTATCATCACTCTGGGTTCTTGACTAGCTTTGTGTTGGCATGCTGTCTGTACAGAGGAAGAGTTAAAGTTCTGTTAGCAGCATGATCTGTTGTTTGTGTCATTGATCCAGTCTGTAATTTACCATTATGCTCTTGTCCTTATGTGCAATAAAAACAAAAATAATTCCCATACCTCCGCTCCTCAAACCTGTAGACACTGTCTTCCCTACACACAACCTGCAATCAGCTGATTGTAGCAAGAACCACACATCCCGTGTGACTGAGGGACCTTTGCAACACAAGTAACCATAAAATTGTAAGTCTAATATAGTTACTGAATTTAGTACAGTAATCTATGGGTGATTCTCTTTTTGCGGCTTCATTTCATGTCCACATATTTCATTTAACCTGATTTTTTTTCTAAAATGTGCCAAATATGTACAATAAAGTAATAAAATTGTTTAATTGTTTGTAATTATTTAAACAAAATGTGTGTCAAATTTTTTATTTTACACACGTTTTTGGTGACACAAATTCAAATTTTAATTTTATTTGTCACACACAACCATACACAGTATGACATGGGGGTGAAATGCTTGTAGCTGTACAATGCCCGACCATTAAATGACAGAAGAAAAGTTTTACAATTTACAGTTTACTACAAAAATTTACAAATTAACTTAGGAATTTACAGTAAAGAATGTGCAAATAGCAGAAGAGATTATAAAGATAAGGATTATAAATTATAGGAAATGTGTGGTGGTGCGTGTGGTGACGTGTGTGAGAGTCCAGTCTTATAGTGACGTGTTTGGGAGAGTCCAGTCCTACACCTGGTTCAGGCCACGAATAGCCTGGGGGAAGAAGCTCCTCCTCATTCTCTCTGTTTTGGCCTTAAGGGAGCAGAAGCGCTTCCCAGACCTCAACAGTGAGAAGAGTCCATTGTTGGGATGGGAGAGGTCCATCATAATCTTCCTAGCTTTGGACTTGCACCGCTTGGTGTAGATGGACAGCAGGTCAGGGAGCTCTGATTGAATGATGTGTTCTGCCGAGCGCACCACCCTTTGCAGATCTCGTCTGTCCTGCTTGGTGCTGTTCCCAAACCAGGTGCAGATGTTTGCCGTCAGGACGCTCTCGATGGTGCAGGAGTAGAAGTTCTTGAGCACCTTCAGTGGCAGATGGAAGTCTCTAAGTCTTCTGAGGAAGAAGAGACGCTGACGGGCTTTCTTAACCAGGGTGTTGATGTGACAGGACCATGACAGGCCCTGAGTGATGTGGACACCCAGGTATCGGAAACTGTCCACTCTCTCCACTGGCGTGCCACTGATGATGAGGGGTTTGTAATTCCTCGCCTGCTTTGTAGTGAAGTCCACGATCAGCTTCTTAGTATTGCTGATGTTTAGGAGGAAGTTATTCTCCTGGCACCAGGTCTCCAGGTTCCTAATCTCCTCCAGGTAGGCCGTCTCGATGTTGTCGGAGATCAGGCCCACAACAGCAGTGTCGTCAGCAAACTTGACAATGGAGGTGGTGTCTGATGTGGCTACACAGTCATAAGTGTACAGTGAGTACAGCAGGGGGCTTAAAACACAGCCCTGAGGCACTCCAGTGCTGAGTGAGATGGAGGGGGAGACTTGTTTTCCCACCCTCACTGATTGGGGTCTGTCTGTGAGGAAGTTGAGGATCCACTGACACAGTGATGAGCTGAGTCCTAGATCCGTCAACTTGGTGAAAAGCTTAGAGGGAATTATTGTGTTGAATGCTGAACTGTAGTCCACGAACAGCATCCTAACATAATTCCCTCTGCCAGTGTCCAGGTGACTCAGGGATGTGTGGAGCAGGTGAGATATGGCATCGTCTGTGGAACGATTAGTCCGGTAAGCAAACTGAAGTGAGTCGATGGTGGCAGGAAGTGAAGAAGTGATGTGATCTCTCATCAGTCTTTCAAAACACTTCATCACAATTGAAGTCAGTGCTACTGGACGGTAGTCATTGTGGCAAGTGGGCTGTTGTTTCTTTGGAACAGGGACAATAATGGACTGTTTGAAGCACGTGGGAACCACAGCTTGGGCCAGGGAGAGGTTGAAGATCTCTGTGAACACCGGTGCTAGTTGATCAGCGCAGGCTCTAAGGACCCGGCCAGAGATTGCATCTGGTCCTGCTGCCTTCCTGGTGTTCACCCTCCTGAAGGTGTTCCTCATGGCATGCTCTGTGATGACGAATGCATTTTCTTCACTGGTGCACTCCGAGCGCGCGCAGCCGTTTGTTGTTTTAATTGCTGCAGCGTCGAAGCGAGCATAAAACGTGTTCAGCTCATCAGCCAGTGAAGCATCTGCATTCATCATTGAAGAAGCTGGTCATTTATAGTCCGTTATAGTCCGCAGTCCCTTCCACAGGCTCCTAGAGTCGCACTGTCGTAGCTGTGACTCTAGTTTTTCCCGTAGCTCCGCTTTGCCTTTCGGACCGCGCTGCGCACGTTGTAGGACGCAGCCTTGTATAGGTCCATATTACCGGAGACAAGCCCTTCATTGTAGGCAGCGGTGCGTGATGTCAGAGCGTCGCGGATGTTTTTATCCACCCACGGCTTCTGGTTGGGAAACGTTCGGATGATAGTTCTTTCTGCTGTGTCGTCCGCTAGTTTCCCGATAAATCCCACAACCGCTTCCGTAAACATGTTGATGTCATCAGAGCTGCGCCGAAACATGTCCCAGTCTGCGTCATCCAGTGCGTCCTGCCACTGATTGGTCCGTCCAGCGAGCGACCTCCCTCCTGATTGGTGGTTGCTGCTTTAGCCTTTGTTTGTAGGCAGGCATGAGGAAGATGGCGGAATGGTCCGATTTTCCAAATGCCGGCAGGGGCTGAGCCTTGTAACTAGGGTTGCCAACCGTCCCTTAAAATACGGAATCGTCCCGTATTTCGAAACAAAAGTACACGTCCCGTATTGAGCTAATAAGGGACGCACTTTGTCCCGCAATACAGTGAGAATCAAAAGTAGTCTATAAATGTTTATGGAATTAACGCTTTGTTTGAAAACATAATTCCCAGCCCCTCTCCTGCTTTGTGACCAATGAGCTGACAGCACACTTATGACAATTCGAGTATGACAATTCAGATTACCGCTCATCTCATTGGTCGAGGAAAGATCGCTTGCGGAGAAAATACCGGAAGACAACAGATGACCACAACAAGAAGCATGGCCAACGGGGAAACAAACGCCGACACTGCGGTGCAAGTCTCGGACGACAGTACACCTAAAGCTGGACAGACACTGTGCGATTTTCAAACTGCACAATTGACTCGCAGGGGTTAGAAGTTGGTAGGTCACGATGCAGGTGTAACCGGTGTGATTCTGCGTTGTGTCTGATAAAAAAGGTAAAAGAAAGAAAGACCTCCAAGTAAATAATTTGCCCACTCCAGCTCCTCTCCCACAGGGGAATTGTAGGAAAAGGGCAGCATTTATTTTTACATTAAACATAAAATATGCATTTACACGTAACATATTTGACATAAGATAAAACAAAAACAACAACATGAAATCCGACATACCTGATAAAAAAGGTAAAAGAAAGAAAGACATCCAAGTAAATAACTTGCCCACTCCAGCTCCTAGACCAAATACAAACAGTGGGGAAGAGGGTTAGCTCAACCCACCACAGCTCCCAAGCTAGCAAGGAGTATGTCAGGGGTTGACATTTGTGCAAACACAAGTAAGAGAAATGAGACACTGTAGACCGACTCAGAGAGTATTAGAAACGTGCGCACGGGTGAATGCCTCTGAGAAGACACACACACCGAGTGCAGGCTTGCTTGCTTTATTTATAGTGAAAGTAAGTTACATAGTACTTCCTCTTTTAACTGAAAAGGGAGAGGTCAGGCATTATCTCAGCTTATCTGACCTTGCACACATACACTGAAAATAACAATGCAGAAGTATATCATGCTTATCTGACATCACACACTGAGGAAAGGAATGCATTATGTTCTCTTTAACACTTAGCTTGGTTATGTGAAAATATATGAACACACAAAATATAAGGCACACTTGATTATATTGTATTATAGAGATTTGGTTATATTGTATAATGTAGAAAATCTCTAACAGAGTATATATTCATGCTAGCATTTATGGCGCCTAAAACACATTTATGATACACACATACTACACACTTATAACATCTTACAAAAACAGGCTTAATAATGACAATAACTGAACTAACATCGCAATCATAAACATCAGGGTGGCTAAATATGAATTATGTGTGTTTCAAGGTGTTGGAAAGAAATGACACCCACCTCTCCCACAGGGGAATTGTAGGAAAAGGGGTACACTGTATTTATAGTATT